TGAACAGTAGCTGGACGTCAGAACCGCAAGAAGCTCAGAGAAGGCTGCCCATGTCCAGCCCAGGCACAGGGTCCAGACACTTAGAGAAGAAGAGGAAGGCGGGGGTTCAGAAGGCCCAGAGGAAAGGCTGGAACGAGGCTCACCAGGCCAGCGAGGGACAGAGAAGCCCGCAGAGCCATAGCAGGAGGGCAGATGGATGGGCTTCAGGAAATGCCCAACACAGGGCAGGTTCGGGGACCCAGACAAACTCACAATCCAGACTTCAACACATCTCCCTCAACCCACTGGAGATCCAACACACACGAGTTTTTGTGTACACAGATTTGAAGAACACCCTTAACAGATAGCCGTAGAGTACACCTTCTGACCACAGTGCAACCGAATGAATTCCATAGCAGGGGCTGGGGCTGCGGCTCAGTGGTAGAGCGCTGGCTTAGCGTGTGTGAGGCTCTGGGTTTGATCCTCAGCACCTCATAAAAACAGATAAAATAAAGGTATTGTGTCCATCTGCAACTAAAAAAGAAGAAATCCATAGCAAACCGCTAGCTGGAAAGCCCTTGTGGTTGGGAATTAAGAAAGAGTGGTGGGTAATTCCTGGGGACAAAGAAGAGTCAAAAAGGGAATTAATTCGAAAACATTCTTAACCAAGAAACTACGAAACTGTGGGGTGCAGTCAAGCAGGACTTAGAGCAAGGTCCCCATCCTTAAGCAAGCACATAGAAAAGGGGAACCGTGGAGACACAAGGAGCACCCAGCCCCAGCCCTGGGGGCAGAGGGCTGAAGGTGAGTGTGGGTGTCAGCCAGGCAGGGGACAGATGCACAGGAGAGGGAGCGGTGCCTTAGCGGCTCAGAACGGGCCAAATCTGGCTGTTTGAAGAACTAAACACCGATTAGTCTCTGGGTGAGGCTGAACAAGATAGAAATGAGAAAAGCAGTAACTCAGATCATCGGGAAGGAAAAAGAAGAACCCGCAGCCCCTCCCGCAGTAGAGGATGAGGAGGGTCATCGCAAACAGCTCTGTCCTCTGCGTCGGACAACTTAGATGAAATTAGTTCCCAGAAAAATTTCTAGGAATAAAGCCAAAAAATATATAATTTACTGAATCAAAACACACACACACACATATACACACACACACACGAAAAACCCAGGATTTTATAATTAATACAAAGAATTATTTAAAACCTTCTTTCAAAGAAAATGCCGATCCAAATAGCTTCACTAGCGAGTTTTACCAGACATTTAAAGAAGAAATAAATCTAATAAAACCCAAATTTCCCAAAGACTAAAATCCTAAAGAAAACGCCAGCAAAGGAAAGCTAGCTGCAAGTCAAGCAACCATCACGACCAGTGGACGTACCACCGGAGCCAGGGCTGGCCTCAGCTGAGGAAGCCATCAGTGCGCCCCGCTCCAGCACAGATCCCCAGGAGACCCTGCATCCCACGTCCACAGCAGTCAGGAGGGGGCTCCGGCTCAACCATGGCTGACCAAGGGAACAGCAGAGCCACACAGAGGAGCACTACTCAGCCTTGAAAAGGACACTCTGACCTTCGATCCACAGTAGGGACCTCGAGGACATTATGCTGGGTGAAGCACACCAGACACCAGGATGAGCACCAGGAAGGGAGGCGGGCCTGCCGGGCAGGGGCTTCACAGGACAGAGCCTCGGTCATGCAAGGGGAGGAGGCCCTGGCCATCTGCTGCACTGCCCCAGAGCGTGTTTAGTGTCCCTGGACCTCCAGATGGTGGACGAGAGTATTTTTAAATTGCAATTAAAAATTTTGTAAAGAGTAGTCAGGGTAACTGCAGCACTCAAAGGAAAAAGACAGCGACATAGTGAAACATCAAAAAGACCACCGTCCCCAGCATGGTCGCAGGGACATTAGCTCGTTATTTTGAAGTCTTGTTTTTTTTTAAATGGGAAAAAAAAAAAAAAACAGTCACAGTTGGCCGGGGGATAAGGAGGCTTGACTCAATGTCCTTCGTCCTGGGTGAGGTGCTGGTACAGAAAAGGGACATTAGATAAAAGCTGAGGGGAAATCTGGGTGTGGACTTTGCTAATAACACCATATGAATTTCGGTTCACTAATTGTGACAAGTGTCCTGTGTGGATGGAAGTCAGTGGCACTGGGGAATGGCCTGGGCGCGGGCATTCTGCGCTGTCTCCTCACGTCCTATCACGCCTGAAACTGCTGAGCTGCTCTAAGGTAAGAACATGCTTCACCTGGCAGGTGGGGGAGGAGCATGACCCCCCCATCCTGGACAGAGGGTCCAGGGAGCAAAGAGAGACCACCCACACACGCCACCCTGCGTAGGCCCTGCTGTACAGTCAGGGAGCGGGCATGAGACGCTGGACTGGGCAGTAGATGATACTTGAATTATTGCTAGATTTTAGACAGAATAATCCAGGTTGTGATTTTTAAACAAGAGGTACACGTGGCTCAGGGCTTTGGTATTATGGAGGAAACCCTGTGATGTCCCTGATTTGCTCTCAGATAATGCCGGAGCGGGAAGGAGCTTGGTGCGCTGAGGACACTGGCTTGTGTGCCACCATGAAGGTCTTAGGAAGGAGTGCTCTGCTCTGAGCCCGGGGTTTCTCCTCTTCCCCCAGGAGCTGCAGGGCTCCTGGCCTCTCCGTGACTATTTCATTTGCAGAAAGATCGGCTGCTTGGGAAATAATTGGACACTAGTGTCCTGGTCACCTTCCCTTGGTGAGCAGCCGGGTTTGTGGGGGCTGGGGCCACACAGCAGAGCTCAGTCGGAGCCCTTCCTGCTTCAGCTGCCTGAAGGGGACACGTGGCCCTCCCCAGCAGATCTGAGTGGAGACCCTTGCCACAGAACCTCTGCTTCCCCCAGCCTCTAAGCTGGCCCCTTCCCTCCTGCAGAGTCTTCTCAGGTGGAGGAGGAGGATTGCTGCAGGTGCAGGCTTCTTCTCAGGCCAGAGCTGCCCTGCTTCCTGTCCCTGCTTAGGTAGGGACAGAGCTGGGAGACGGTCAGCTGTGTGTGAGTCGGGAAGGGCTGAGGAGTGAGAGGAGGCCTGGGGCCCAAGGGGTGGAGAGCAGTGCTGCTGGGAGCTGGGAAGAGGGAGGGCTGGAGGGGAGGGCTGGAGGGGACTGGGGGGGACTGGAGGGACGGCTGGAGGGGAGGGGCTGGATGGGGGGCAGAGGGGAGGGCTGGAGTGGAGGCCTGGATGGGAGGGCCTGGATGGGGGGACTGGAGGGGAAGGTTAGAGGGGGGGTTGGAGGGGGGAGAAAGGGAGGGCTGGAGGGGAGGGCTAGAGTGGAGGGCTGGAGGGGAGGGCTGGTGGGGGGGACTGAAGGGGAGGGCTGGAGGGGGGACTGGAGGGGAGGGCTGGAGGGGAGGGCTGGAAGGGGAACTGGAGGGGAGGGCTGGAGGGGAGGGCTGGAAGGGGAACTGGAGGGGAGGGCTGGAGGGGAGGGCTAGAGTGGAGGGCTGGAGGGGAGGGCTAGAGTGGAGGGCTGGAGGGGAGGGCTAGAGTGGAGGGCTGGAGGGGAGGGCTGGAGGGGAGGGCTGGAGGGGGGACTGGAGGGGAGGGCTGGAAGGGGAACTGGAGGGGAGGGCTAGAGGGGAGGGCTGGAGGAGGAACTAGAGGGGAGGGCTGGAGGGGAGGGCTGGAGGAGGAACTAGAGGGGAGGGCTGGAGGGGAGGGCTAGAGTGGAGGGCTGGAGGGGAGGGCTGGAGGGGAGGGCTAGAGTGGAGGGCTGGAGGGGAGGGCTGGTGGGGGGGACTGAAGGGGAGGGCTGGAGGGGAGGGCTGGAGGGGGGACTGGAGGGGAGGGCTGGAAGGGGAACTGGAGGGGAGGGCTAGAGGGGAGGGCTGGAGGAGGAACTAGAGGGGAGGGCTGGAGGGGGAGACTGGAGGGGAGGGCTGGAGGGGGGACTGGAGGGGAGGGCTGGAGGGGAGGGCTGGAGGGGGGACTGGAGGGGAGGGCTGGAGGGGAGGGCTGGAGGGGGGACTGGAGGGGAGGGCTGGAAGGGGAACTGGAGGGGAGGGCTGGAGGGGAGGGCTGGAGGAGGAACTAGAGGGGAGGGCTGGAGGGGGAGACTGGAGGGGAGGGCTGGAGGGGGGACTGGAGGGGAGGGCTGGAGGGGAGGGCTAGAGGGGGAGACTGGAGGGGAGGGCTGGAGGGGAGGGCTGGAGGAGGAACTAGAGGGGAGGGCTGGAGGGGGAGACTGGAGGGGAGGGCTGGAGGGGGGACTGGAGGGGAGGGCTGGAGGGGAGGGCTAGAGGGGGAGACTGGAGGGGAGGGCTGGAGGGGAGGGATTGGAGGAGGTCTGGAGGGGAGGGCTACAGGGGAGGGCTTCAGGGGGATGGAGGGGAGAGCTGGAGGGGAGGGCTGGAGGGGAGGGACTGGAGGGGGGACTAGAGGGCAGGGCTGGAGGAGGGACTGGAGGATCTGACATTTCTCCACTCAGCTGCCCCAGCCACAGGGCTTCAGAATGACCGGGAAGCCAAGTGACACCATGGCAGTGATCAGATCTGAGCAGGCAACGGTGTGGCTGGGGCCCCAATGGGACCAGGAGGGAGCTGTGCTTTGCCCTGGGTGTGGACTTGTGTTGGAAAAAGGGCATTGCAGCAGGTACCAGTGCAGGGACATTGTGACCCCTCTGCAACACTGGGTTCCCCAGGTGGTTTTCTTGAGACCCAGCCAGGGAAGCAGTTGGCTTCAGGCTTCTAACCACTCACAACCTGGTGTGGGCCGAGGGCTGCCCCAGGCAGGCCACCAAGCAGCCTGGGACAGGCCACAGGGGACTTCTGTGCAAGGGGCAGGGCACATGTGCAGGAGGTGTGGAGACCAGGGCACGTGGCTTTGCACACATGCTGTATACCTGAACCTCGGTTTACCCATCTGCAAAAGGCCAAGGATGACACTTCCGCAGGGCTCAGAGGGCTCTGTGACACACTCGGGAAGGTGTCAGCAAGCCCTCCTGAGTGCTCGCTGCACCGCCCCAGCCCCAGCTCCTGCCACACGTGGTACCTCCATCTGCCCATTCTCTGCTGCGTCGTGCAGGGGCGTCCCACCCCAAGAGTCTCTCGTGATCGGGGCACCCATCAGCAGGAGCCGGTCTAGGATGGGTGTGTGGCCTCCGCGGGCAGCGAAGTGCAGGGCGGTGGCCCCCTCATTATCCCGTGTGGTCAGGCTGATGTCTGTGAATGTGACCTGCAGAGAAGTGCCATAGGGAATGGGCTGGTCAGCAGAGGCCAGCCTGGAGTGACCACTTCCAGAGAGGAGGGACATGGGGTAGCTCAGAGCAAAAGTGGGAGCTGACCTTCAGCTAGGCCTGGAGGTGGGGGCAATACTTCCCAGGAAGCCCTGGGACAAGCTGGCTTATATCACATGGCCACAACCCTAGGGCAGCATGGCGTCCAGGGTGAGGTGGGGACACGCGCTGCAGTGGTTTTATCTGGAGACCCCACAGTCCCAGGTCTTAAACCAAATGTCATGAAAAAGTGCCACATCTGGCCCCTAGGGGACAGACAATGTGTGAACGGCTGCTGGTGAAGGGAGCAACGAGGAAGGGCATCCTCGGGTAAGGGCAGCACCACATCCTCCGGGCTTCGCAGCCCGGGCACAGCCCAGCATGAGGACGCTGCTAGGTGAGCCGGTGCTGGGACCCCTCCCCGCCTGGCCTGGAGCCTGGTGACAAGCACACGGGTGACTTGAGGCCAGGCCTGCTCTGGAGCCTCGCCTGTCCCCTGAAAGGGTGTCGTGGGTTCTGGTCCACAGCACCAGCCAGGCGCCTCCCAGGGTTGTCCCAGCCGACAGCCATGCCAGCCCTTTACAGGGTGACATGCTGAATGTATGTCTGGCAGGGGAGACGCCCAGAGAGGGTGGGCCGCAGGAGGTTCTGCCTCCTTAGGCCGTGGTGCCTCCTTCCACCCTCCTCCTGCCTTGAACATGGAAAGGGCAAGAAGGGCCGCCAGTCCCTGCCCTGCTTCCCCCTATGGGGTGGGAGGCCTGCAGCCCAGGCGTTCCTGGCGGACCCCACAATCCAGTGTGTGTTAGAGAAAGGGACCCTGAAGGCCGTCCCCGCAACCCAGGGAGAGCGTGCGAGGCGGAGCCCAGCCACTTTCCCACCTGGAGAACCCCACGGCCCGGGCCACTGCTTACCCTGGACCGGCTGCTCCAGCAGCACAGTCTGCGAGCCTCTGTGAGTGCCCCCCTCCTGCCCCCATGGCACCCACCACCCCAACCACAGCTGCTTCTCCCCCACAGCCTGCGGGTCACGTCCATGTGGCAGACATGGCAGCCCTGAGGCTTGCTGTGGGAGCCTGGAGCAGGCCCAGGGAGGGGACAGCATGTTTGGGGCTCTTCATATGGAGTGAGGCCACAGGCGGGGACACCAGGGGGGCCATGTGTGGAGAGCCGTGCAGCAGAACCCGGGTCCCACCCCCGCTCCCCAGGGTGACACTCCCTCAGGGAGGCACCAGGGCTGCCTCAGGCTGCCAGGGAGGCTGGGGCCATCCTTGCTCCTTCCCGGGTCTGTCCACTGATCAGTACACATTCCCCAGCCCTCCTGCTCCAGGCACAGGGGATGAGGGGATGGACAAAGGCCTGGCCCTCCAGGACTCCCAGAGGGTACTCTCCAGGGGGTAGAAGGTCCCTGACATTACAGGATCAGGCTTGATGACCTGGGGGACACGTGGCCAACTTGAACAAGCACAAGGTGCAGCCTGGTCAAAGGCCCTGAGCTGGCAGCTGGGGCAGGAGCAGCAGAGGAGGAGGGTGGGAGGGGCGAGCGTGGGAAGTCTTAGCGGCAGGCTCTCCCCTCTCCACCAGCAGCCAGAGTGGCCTTCTGGAACGCCAGCAGATCAGCTCAGAGACCTCAATGTTCTCTAGCACCCTCAGTGGGGAGCCCAGGCTGCCCTCCCAGTCCATCTCCAGGCCCACGGGTAAGGTGCTCCCTTCTCCAGGAAACTGCTTTGGGCCCTGCCCAGCCCAGCTGCCTCCTGCTCTGCCCCCCACTGCCACCTCCCTGGTGAGGCCCTCCCTCCCCTGAGACCCATCAGGTCTCCCATAGACCCTCAGAGCTCCCCGACAACCCTGCCAGGGTTGTCGCATGGTATTCTGTTGTGGCATGGAGGTCCCTGCCCTCCCTGCAGGAGTCATCCCCACTGTCTCCATGCTGTGGGGCTCAGGGCTCCCTTCTAGGAAGGGGAACTGGCCTAGGGCTTGGAGGCAGTGGGCCTGAACTAACAGATAAGGTGCCCAGGCCAGGCACTGTCTGTGGCACTGGTGACAGAGCACCTGGGGTGCCACCAACCCCAGCGCACCCTGGAGACCCACTGCTGGTGCCCAGGTCTGGAGGCCTCTGTGGTCACAGCCGTGGAGCCTGTGTGATGCCCCGCTGCCCTGTGGTCCCCGTTCCCGGTGGAGCCTCAGGCCCTGTTTATTGCAGGCCCGTGGACTTGGACGTCCTCCTCCCCAGCCCTGCACCCCCTTACCAGCCAGACAACGAGCGAGTAGTGGCCGCGGGCAGCAGCGGCATGCAGCGCACTCATGCCATCGAGGGCACGCAGGTGCACGTTGGCTCCGCAATCCTTCACCAGGAACTGGGCCAGGTGCAGGTGGCCCTCCTGGCAGGCCAGGTAGAGGGGGGAGGCACCACTGCGAGTCCTGTGGTTCACGCTGCTGCAGGGAGGGAGGGTTCAGAGGGAGCTTGGCCAGGGGCTGTGGGCAGGGCAAGATGGAGAGGAGGCGAAGCCCAGCCTCTGACCTGCTTGTGTCCATCTCCTCCCCATCACCTGTAGAGCTACAAGGTTGTGCTGTCCAAGATGGGGAGGGCCGGGAGCTGGCTCATGGGATACAGCTGAGCCCACTCCCGGCTGCACTCCTCACCCCTGGCAGGGGCGATACTGGCCTGGCTAGCACAGTGGGGCCTAAGGCTGGCAGCCCCTTAATCATGAGCTGCCATGGGCTACCACGGGAGCCAAGGGCCACCATGAATAGCACAGGAGCCTTGCATACCCAGGGTTGGCACCAACATTTGTCCCCAGTGAGGATGGGCCGAGCAGCGTCTTAGAATCCGCCTAAACCCACTCTGCCCTCACACTGCCATTGGGCCAGGCACGTCCCCCCCAGCCAGCTGCAGGGAGGGCCAGTCCCCTACCAAGGCCAAGCCCATCCTCTGGTGACACACTGCACCCCTGGACCTCTGGCCCTAGTCATGACATACTGAGTTTCCACACTCCTTCCAGCTGCTGCCCCAGGGTTTGGGGGTCCTTGCCCCTGGCTGGGCTCCCCAGGTGGCTGGGCACGGCTGTCCCCTTCCCTTCTTTCCTCACCTGGGGGCAGGTTATAAAATCAATCTTTTTAGACTCGAGGTGGTCAAGTCTTAGATGGAATCAACCCTCAGTCAACCCCCGAGCCCCCCAAGGGCTCCCCTCTGCCTCTGAGCACCTGCACCCTGCACTGCGCAGCCCTGAGGGTGAGGCAGCTGGGCTGAGGCTGAGCTGGGGGCCTCGCGCTGCCCTGGGAGTGTGCTTGCCAGGGCCACAGTGGTTGGTGGAGGGCAGGAGACCTGGACGTGGGACTCTGGGCTCCTCTGCTTTCCTTCTGTTTCTCTCACCCAAGCCCCAGCTCTGTCCCAGCCTGGCTCTGTCCTAGGTCCTCCACCTCTAGGGCCTTGAGCCAGGGCACTTGCTGGACAGGGGGCGCTCTCAAGAGTGCCCACCATCAGCCCCATGCAGAATGGATGAGTTTGAGCAATTTGGGATCCACCCCAGAGGGCCACTTCCCCCTAAGTGGCAGAGGGTCTGGTCACAGCCTTCAGCTGAGTGAAAAGCCTAGGGATCTGAACCTCCTTCCCCTAGTAAAGTTCCTGCCAGGACTAGCCTCAGCTCCTAGCAAGGTGCCCAGGACCCTGGGCACAGCCCTGGTCTTGGACCCACTGTGTACCTGCTCAGCCCATCCAGGGCTCCTTCCTTGGACTACAGAGCCTGAGGGTGACTTGAGGGGAGTTCCAAAGGGCTGAGTGTGCCCTGGTGCCCTCCTGGGGCAAGCTCTCCCACCAGGGCTGAACAGGCCAGTGTCCAGCATGGTGGCCGAGGAGCAGGCAGGTGGTGCAGAAAGTGGGTCTGGGGCTGCCGGAGTGTACACATGGCCTGGTTCTGCAAATCTGCCCCCACAGTCAGTACCCAGTGGGCGTGCCCGGTGGGACAGGACACTCCCAGTTGTGTGTATGTGGTGATGTGTGTGTGTGCATGCCGGTATGCGTGTATGTGCTGATGTGAAGTCACCCAGCTCAATATTGGAAGCTGCTTTAAAAGCTGCGCAGGCCTGGGGCAATGTGGGTGCTCCGAAGAACAGCTGGAAGCCCACCCAGACTCTCCAGGTTGTTCACAATGGGACAGAAACAGGACACTGTTCTCAGCTGCGCTATCCTGGCTTGTCCCAGAACAAACATGGGTCCCTGGGAAACAAGATGGACAAGCAGAAAGCTCCTGGCGGGGGTGGGGGCACAGGCAGAGGGCAGGCTTCTTGGTTGGGAAGGAAGGGACACACTGGGTGCCTCTTTCTTTCCTGCCCCGTCACCATGACAACTGTGACCCTCCGTGCTGGGCAAAGATGGGCAAAGGGTCATCACCAACTAGTCACCAATCCTGGCAGGTGGGCACAGGTCTCTGAGGTGGCCAGCTGGCCACCAGCAGGAGAGGTTCCTAGTGTCTGGCATGGACAGTGTAGAGGCAAACCCAGGCCAGCCTCCTAGTTAAACAACCTCTGCTCCCTTCAGGTGCCCACAAAGGTGCCCAGCTGCCCACACCAAGTGCTTGTTTTCTGCTCAGGCAACTGGCTGTCTTCACTGACCCGTCAGCGCTGCTGACCTGCTGTGCCTCAGGATGAAGGTCCTGCCCACGCCCTGTTGAGCCCCCTGTGCTCTCTCTGCTCATCTCCAGTCCCAGGCCCTCACCTGCGGTGGACGGCCACCAGGAGCTTCAGGCAGGTCAGGTCCCCGCTGACAGCGGCATGGTGCAGCGGCAACGCGCCCTCCAGAGTCTCCAGTGTGGCTTCGTGGCCCTCCTGCAACAGCCACTCCACCAGTGCTGGGTGTCCAAAGCGGGCAGCCAGGTGCAGCGGGGAGACGCCCGAGGCATCTTGGTCCTACCGAGGCACAGGCAGGGAGCAGGCCGGTGGCAAGTCCCAACCCAACCCTGCCAGGCAGTGCCACACGGCCAGTCAGCTGCTCAAGGCTGGACTTGCTAGGACCCCACACCACCCACAGCCCTGGCCCAGGAGCCCGTTTCCTCCCACCTTCCTCCGTTCCCCTCCATGGAGGGGTCCCCTGCTGGGACTGAGGGGGTCCTACTCCCAGAGAGGCAGGGTTCAGACTCAAGTCAAGGCTCGAGGGTCACATCCTGGGATCCTGCCCAGTCCAGGCCCTGTACGCCTTTTGGCTGTTGAGCCCTCTGCTCAAGGTCAGGAAGCAGCCTACTTGCCCAGTATGCCTGCCGGGAGTGTCCAGGACCCCTGTCTCTGGGCCTCTGCTCCTCCCTCCCTGCCCTGCCATAGGTCTCCAAGGCCAAGGAGCCTTTCCACCTCAGGTGTGGCACGTTCGGCAGCCGTGGGTATCCAGGGGTGAGCAGAAGTGAATCTGGAATCGACACAGCTCCTGCCTGCTGCCCTTGGGTTATCAGAAGCTGAGGAGAATCTGTGCTGAGGCTGGAGCAGACTTCGGTGCCGAGAGGAGCCCTGACACGTCTTCCTCCCCCAGGTCCTAGGAGCTCCCGGCCACCCACTGCTGACCACTGGGTGGGGCACTAAGGCTTGCTCCCAAGAACCCAGCCAGGGTCTAAGGTCCTTCCCCTGCACAGAGGAGGGCAGGGCGGGCAGGGAAGGGGTGGGGCCCTGGTGGAAGTGCCTGGACAGGATGGTCCCTGAGACTCGAGAGCCCTCTCCTCACCATGACAGCTTCAAACTGCCCCTATAGCCTGGCAGATGCCACCAGAGCCTGAAGCTCTGAGCCCAAGTTTCTGCCGTGCCTCTTCATGGATCCATTTCTGGCCCTCTGAGAAACAGCCCAGCTGTTCAGGCCTGATCAGACAGGGGTCCTGCTCACTGGGGAGCCTCCCCTGCCAGGCCAAGTGCTCCAGACATGGCCAGGAGAGCCTGAGGAGCTACTCTGAGCTGGTACAGTTTAGGAGGTGGCCTTGTCTTCGAGGGCTCTCTGCTATTTTGGGGGATGGGCACAGGGCAGACAGATGCCACTGGTTGAGAAAGAACCCAGGGCCACAGAGCCTGGTGAATGGGGCCTTCTGGGCTCTTGATCTTGTTCCACCCCAGCAAGGTTCCTGGAGACGGGCTGCCGGCTGTCCCCTTCCTGCTCACCTGCAGCCCGCAGCCTCCATTTCGGACCAGCCAGCGCAGCTCAGCCAGGCCTCCCGTGGCAGCCGCATCGTGTGCCGGTGTGGCCCCGTTGTGGGCCCGCTGGTTACTGGGCAGCTGGGCTCGCTGCACCAGGAACTTGACGCAGTCCAGATGGCCTGTCCGGCTGGCATGGTGCACTAGCCCAGCCCCCAGAGCATCAGTGATGCCTGGGCCCAGGGCGCCAGCCTCCAGCAGCCGCTCCAAGGCGGCCACATCCCCTTCCTTGGCGGCCACTATTGCCTGCTGCTCCTCCATCCTCTGGCCCGGCTCTTGGGGCAGCTCCTGAACAGGCCCAGCGGGGCTTCCTGTTTCAGGCGTGAATGAGGCTGCCGGCTCTGGTTACATGATAAGCAGAGCACAGGGCAGATGGGAGGCGGCAACAGGCTGGTGCAGGGGTGGGGGCAGGCCCAGGGGACCAGCTCTTTCCAAGCCACTCCTACAGTCCCCCAGGGCCAGGTGCCTGGGGCTGCAGAGCGTGGAAGGCACACAGAGTGGGAGAAGGGCTGCCCAGGGTGGGCGCCTTCCAGCGAGGGGAAGCCTGGCCCTAGCCCAGACACTGTCCTGCCCAGCAGCTGGAACCTCCTCCTCCTGCCAGGGCCTTCATCTCACCTGCAGTGAGGCAGGAGGAAGCACACCAGGTTTCTCTGCAGGATGAGTCTCAGCATCTAGAGGTGTTTCCAGTTACAGACAGCATGGGCTCCCGAGCACCTGCTGTGCCCTGCCCTGCCAGGCCCCCTGGCACTTCCCAATTCTCCTGGAAGGGTGATTTGCCCCTGGGGCCTAAGTGTCTGTGCTATGTCATCACTACAGACAGGTCCTGCCCTTGGCCATGACACTCAGTGTGTGTCCAGGTGGTTTTGTGATGGGAGGGTCTCCAAAGTGAGAATGAGGGACTCACAGCCCCTCTCCAGTTTCAGGGGCAGCAGTCTTAATTATGAGCACCTCTTTCCAGATTGTTCTCATCAAGGGTCTAGACATTACATGGGTCTTTGCTGGAGGTCAGGACAAGCGAGGTCTCTTCCTGGCAGGGCTGTTGGCAGGCACTGGTCAGGATCTACTTTCTAGGGCTCCCGGAAGCAGGATCCCAAGCTGCGTTTCTTAGACTAAAGCACAACTTTAAGATGATAGGTTGGGATGACGTTCCTGCTGTCGGCTCAGACAGACACCCTCGGCCACTGAGAACGGCACAGGCAGAGGGTAGCCAGAGGACAGGTCACAGACACAGGAAGCCACAGATGTCCAGGTAGGCATGGAAATCTTTAATTAGTTCATTTAATTTCTGATAATCCTTTCCTCAATATCATCCTATAGTTCTTTGGACCTTAAAAGCACATTAAAAATGTTACTCTCTGAAAATTATTCCTATGTAAATATTGGCATTTGATGTGTATGCCATACATTCTGTGAGGATAAACAAATCTTTTGCAAACAGTAAGGAGAGTCAGGGATGACCTGGCCCCCACCTCGGGGTGACCCAGAATTGCACACACTCACAGCAGTGACGCTGGAGTTGAATCCTGAGTAAGAAAGCAGAGGGGGAAGCGGGCACAATGGGGGGCTGGGCAGGGCAGTGGACAGTGGCCCACAGAACCATGAGGGCAGACCATGCTTGTCTGCCAGGAAGGTGTCCCACGGGGACAAGGCATCGTCAGGATGATGGTGGGGCCAGGGAGGCGAGAGCAGCAGCTACCACCCATCTGGGGGTCACTGCACACGGAGGTCAGGGGAGGCCACATCACATGGTGCAGGTGCCATAGTTTCCTATCTTTGACAGCAGCTTACTGGCAGTGGATTTTATCTTTTGGATAAAGCCAGCCTTCGGAGGGTGGGAGTCCTGAGTGCCCAGAGGGACAAGGGGAGAAGCGTTTCCATTTCCACACAGCCTCTGGCAGCGCCATGGGACAGTCCTACGTGGGTGCTGGTGTCCTGGGCCTGTCAGGAGCTGGGCTGGGCAGGACATCTCTGCATCAGCCCACATTCAGGGGAGGAGGCACACGGACGGACACCCCTGTGCCTGGGTACTCCATGACAGCGAGGATCAAAGGAAGTAAGTGTGGCCCTGGCGCAGCTGAGAGGCACAGTCAGACACCGAGCGCTCAGCAACGGGCTTCCTATGGGCGCAGTGACCACGGCCCTGTCCTGGCCACCGAGGGCAAGGGCGGCCCCAGCACTAGGCCTGGCCTTCCAGCCGGGCCACGGCCTGCTTCAGGTCCTGCACAACGAGGTCCACCTCGGCCCTGGTGGTGCTGCGGCCCACGCTGAGCCGGAGCGCGTTCCTGGCCACATCGAAGGGGATGCCACAGCTGAGCAGCACTGGGGACGGCCTGGGGAGGAGGACAGCGTCAGCGGCCCCTGAGGACAGTCTCCTGCTCATGCCACTCAGGGAAGACACACTGCCCTTTACTCTCAGCCAAGCCTCCAGGTCGGGCTGGGTAAACCCCATGCCCACTCCATGGCCTGGCTGTTCCCCCCGCCCCTTGCCCTCAGCGTCATCTGCTAGGGACACCCTGGACCAAGCCCACCCCAGCCACCTGTGGTGAAGGTCTCCCCAGGAGCCTCCCTACAGCCCTCACAGCAGGAGGGTGGTGCTGCCCCTCACGCTGGCTCCCCTTGAGCAGCCCCAGGGCCCCAGGCTTCTCTGTCCCGTACTGACAGAGACTGCAAAGGCCTCGTCCAGGCGCCTGGGCCAAGGCGCTGCTCTGCACACACCAGAGCCCGCCAGTGCTCCAGGGTGCAGTGCCTCAAGACCACCAAGGGGCACTGAGGGTCGCCTCATGGGTCGCATACACCAGGACAGTGCCAGCCGAGTGCCCCAGGAACAAGGTCCTCACACGCAGGCCCAGGCGAGGGCTGCCTCTCCTCCCCCAACCTCTCCGTGCACCACACTGAGGACAGTGACAGGACAAGAGTCTATCTGTGTGCTGGGCCCCTGCCTCCTGTCAGCCAAGGACAGTGCCAGCCCCTAAGCCACCTCCACAGCTATCCCCACCAGCATCCCCGCCCTGACCCTCGAGGCCCTGGCGGGCTGTGGGGCTCCCAGTCAGTCCAACCCTTTCCCCACCTCACCACTGCCTCCTGGGGGATACCCTCAATTCCTGAGCCAGGACACAGAAGCCACCAGAGGGTGGACCCTACTTCTTGCCTCCTCTCAGGAACCACTGGCACTTGTTCCTCCTGAGCTTGTCCCCGCCTCTGGCCTCAGTTGCCTCATTTGAGAAACAGGCTCCCACGGTTCTCAGCACAGGCCTGTGGTGAGCACCCAGAGCAAGGCCGCCTCAGGGCTCCATCAGTGGCAGCCCCTGTGCCTGCCAGCTCACTTGCATCTCTCTGATCTGGAGGCTCTGGACTGCTGCACCCCAGCCTCCTGGCCATGCCAGCCCTCTGTAGCCCTTCCTGCTGCTGGGTGCTAACCCGATTCCTGTCCTCATCCTCCTCTGCCAGTTGGGGCAGGGCTGCTTCTCTAGTACTGTCCCACTAGCTCCAGACCTGAATGGCCACTTGTGGCCACCACAGGGCTGCTCTCCTGAAAGTCTGGGCTCTTCATGCAGCTCCGCCTACCTACAAGCACCACAGCCACAGCAAGCCAGGGATGGGCCTTCTCCCTGCAGGACTGCTGCTCAGGTGACCAGAGCCCTCGGTCCCCTCTGCCTCCACCCGAGCACTGGATGTGGCCACGAGCACTCACCGGTCCCCTTGGTCTGAGTGGCAGGAAGCCCCCACACTGGCCAGCAGCGTCCGGCACTGTGCAAGCACCACATAGCCTGCAAAGACAGCACGCGCCTGAGACCCAGGGCTTGTGCCACCCCTCCCCACTCCTCCCACTCCTCCCCACTCAGGCCTGGTCCCTCCAGGCAATTTAGCAGCACCCAGTGAAAACATTTCCCCTCTCTCCTGGCTGCAGAAGGGCAGGCTCCTGCCCCATCAGCCTGGCTTTGGAAATGGCCTTTCACACCCTCACCTCCAGGACCCCTGGGATTCTGACCTCACTTTACGGCTTGTTGCTGGGATGTCACCTGTTCACCTCCTTTCTGGGTAGAAGCACCTGGGAGCCCCTTGATGAGGTGGCAGGTGCCTCCCTCTGTTCCACAGCATGGGACTTCAGAGCCACCGGCTACTGGGTGGCTGTAGGAGAGTCGCTGCACAAAGTGCCCCAGAGGTGGCCAGGAACAGCACTCTCCCGGGTAAGGGGTGTGTAGAGGGTGAGTGACCTCCTGCGTCCTTGCTTGTGGGAATGCCAAGTTCTCAGTCATGCTGCCACACTGATGGCACCCAGGGGAGTCTGTGAGTCCAACAGGAGAGCCAGTTTCCCTGTGTGATCCACGGAGACCCACAGCCCTTCTGTGAAGTCCAACTGAGTGTGCAGGTGTGATCGGGTATGCTCTCTGGGCCACCATACCCCCTACCCATGAAACATGGCAGGTCAGGCCCTGGACTGGGACCTCAGGGAATTGAGGCCAGGATGTACACACCTCTGGGAGGCAGGGACACTACCCGCTTCCTGGCTGGGGGAGAAGGTCACAGGAATAAACAAATCCCATAGAGGGGCACTTTGCCCTCACTTAGCCAGGTGTTAAAAATGACTGCCTCTATTTTCTCTTCCTCTCAAATTATTCTATAAAATTGCTAACAAAACAGACGAGCTTTCTTAGCAATGGATGATTTTATTTGCTTTCCTAACAGCTAATGGCTGATGTGAGAACTGAGAGTATCCACACCCAGTGTTCCTAAAATGCACAAGGTCAGCAACGAAGCTGCCAATGTCTGGAGCCACAGGAAGCCACCAACCAGCTGACCCAGGGGACAGGCTGGTTCTCAGCGCCTGGCCCCGTGATAGTCACACCCCTGGAAATCTGCTAACAGCTCGAGCTGCGGTACCCAGGCACACAGCAAGAGGGGAGGCACTGTCCTGGATCCAAATCCATGTGGCCCCACTGTGCGGGAGCCACACACATCAAGAGGGCCAGGGCAAGACAGGTAGTCACCTTGAAGCTGGTGTCCCTGGATGGAAAAGTTACAGGTGTTGGGAAGACGTTCGACTCCTGGAAACCGGCTGTTCAAATGAATTCTCTTACCAAATTCAGCCTGAAAGAAAAAGGAATCTAGCATTCGGTGATGGCTTTAAAGACTCCTCCACGGCAGCAGCTGTCTCAGCGAGTGACCACTCACCTCACTGGGGAACACCACCGTGAGAGCTGAGGGTCTGATCCCGGCTCAGAGCACCTGCCTAGCACACGCAGGGCCTTGGGTTCCATCCCCAGGACCACAGGGGAGGCAAGACAAAGGGCAGTCCACGGGAAGCCAAGGTGGACACCGCACTACTCTGAGCACGTGTGAGTGCCTCTGCCTAAGGATAGTCTGCTTGGCCAGGGTCCTTCTTTGGGGACCTCTGCTTGGAGCTCGCTTTCTGCTTCTGAGTCCTCTCTCCGAGTGACCTGCTATGCTCCCCTCCCGCAGCCCCCGGCACTGTGCGTGGCCCCACTCGCCTGCAGTCTCTCCTCCAGGTAGTCGCGGATGTCTCTCATGTGCGCCTCGTAAGCTTCGCAGTTCTCAGTCACCATCTCAGCAGCCTGGAGACACAGACAGGTGACACTGAGGAGAAGCCCAGTCATTGCAAAGCCAAGGACAGCAGGAAGGCTTAAAGAGCCCAGCGACACCTCCCAGCCCAAGGGCACAGATCAGCTCCATAGTGCCCACCACGCTGGCCTCCTGAGAGGGTGCTGCTCCACACTCTCCATAGCCGCCCCCTGCTGGTGCCAGGCACCATACGCCCCAGCAGACAGGTCACGAAGGGTCCCAACCCCAAGGAATGTGTGTTCCTGAGAGGAACAGAACGGGAAAGACCTGCGTGGAGGCAACCCAGGAGGGACTGAGCAGCCTTTGGGGTGGACGGAGATGGCTGTGAGGGCAGCACCCCAGCCACAGCCCCGTGGGGAGCAGGAGTGTGCCCTAAGTTAGGAGGGCTGTTGTGCCAAAGGAGAGGGCAGCAGTGGACAAGGGGACAGGCTTCATGGGCCCCTAAGAGCTGGATCCAGTGAAGTGCTGCAGGCAAATGCCGTCACAGGGGCAGAGGCGAGGTGACCTGGCCGATGGCCACATCTCTCCTGCTGCTGTGCAGGGACGGCAGGCAGGACCTGGCCCAGGGCCGGGGGCCATGAGATTAGACCAGGGCAGCACTGGATGTTCTGTTAGATGCGGGAGATGAGGACAGGAAAGGCCCAAGGGGTCTCCCAGGCTTTTAAAGTGAGGATGGGGATGGCAGGAGGTGCCTCACGGTGAGAGGGAACAGGAGGGACCCAGGAAGATTTTGGACCCTGAGAAAATGTGCAGCAAGCATCAGGGGACCTGGGTGTCCCTGGAGAAAGGTGAGGACCTGCCCTGAGCTATGGTCATTGGGCAGGTGAGGCCCACCAGGGCAGGTGTGGAGTGGACCCGACAGCAGACAATGCAGGGGGCGGGGCCGTGGTGTGGTGTCACTGGCTGGGGGTGGTGTCATGCTGCCCAGGGCCTGGGGACAGCCCTGTGGCTGGAACAACACAGCAGAGGCCACCATCCCTTCAGCAAGGCACAGGGAAGAGGAGCAAGAAGCTGCGTGTCGTGAGGAGGAGAGGCTGCTCCCAGGACCCTGCTGGCCAGGCGAGCGGAGGCCAGACCCTGGATAAGACCCTGGATAAGTGAGATGGAGCCGAGACCGAGCTGGGCACCTCTGCAGCTGCGGGTGCAATGAACCTTAAGCGTGAGGTCACAGGCTGGGGGGCCACGAGCTGAGGCTTCACATAGGGAGCCACCACACCCAGGGCTTGAGGAACTCTCGGGTGACCCTGTGATCTGACCCGGGCACTTCTCAGCCACAGGCCTCCCTGCGTCACTGGGATCAACGAGCAGGTGCCAGGCCTCCAGCGCTCACTCCTCCCACCAACAGCTGTGGTTACCATAGCACAACGCCAGGAAGGGCAGGACCTGGCGGCCGGGTGCAGCTCAAAGGTGGGCACTTGCCTGCTGTGTGCGGAGCTTGGAGTCAACCCCAGCATTACAGACACATCTTACAATTTTTTTTTAGAAAAGATGAGTGCTGGATGTGGTGGTGCACACCTGTGAACCCAGTGACTCAGAGGCTGGGCTGGAGGATCTCCAGGTGAAGGTCAACCTCAACAATTCAGTGAGGCCCTAAGCAATGTAGTGGGACCCTGCCTCAAAATAAAAATAAAAAGGCTGGGACTGGGGCTCAGGAGTTAGGCACTCCTGGGTTCAATCCCCATGGCCAGAAAAGAAGAAAAAAATGATGACTTTGAGTATTCTGAGTTACAGCCAATTCTTTTACTCTTCCCGACCTTTTCTTCTGTCTGGGGATAATGAGGCAGACAGGCAGGGAAAGGCAAGACACACAGATAATCTAAAATGCAGGGGACACACGGCAGGATAAGGGGACAGAGGGGCAGTGAGGGGATGTGGCTCAAGGAGGGCTGCTCAAAGTGGCAGCTGGGCAGAGCCTCAGTGCAGTGAGGGACAGCCATACACCTGCCGGACAGGTAAACCGGGGCCTCACTGTTGGTGGCAAGGACATCATTGCTATATCAGAAGAACTTTTTGAAACACTAAGCAGGCTAGGCATGGTGGTGCACACCTGTAATTCCAGATACTCGGGAGGCTGAGATAGAGGATCGCAAGTTTGACTCAGCAAAGACCTGAGCAACTCAGTGAGACCCTGTCTCAAAATAAAAAATAAAAAGGGTTGGGGATGTGGCTCAGTGGTTAAGTGCCCCTAGTTTAATCCCTTGAACCAAACCAAACCAAAACAAACAAAAAACCCCTAAGCAGGTGCAGCCCACCCTACAGATCTCCAAAGGCACAGTTCTCCAGGCTGAGGAATGAAATTTAGGCTTTTTCTTATCAGTCCATTCACGGGGTCCTGAACCTCATCCCCCTGAAGCCTTGGTTCCAAACACTGCTGAGGTGACGGCAGTATGACCCCTCTGGCCAAGGGCACCAGGCTTACCTTGCCGAGGCCGGCGATCATGGGAGTGTTCTCTGTCCTGTAGGAGATAAGAGATCATGCAGAATCAGCCAAAGTCCTGGGAAGGAGTCCTTCTCCAAGAACATCATCGAATTCAAACAAAACCAAAATGATCTTCCTAAACATGGGCCACATGGGTGCTCAGTGCCAGTAGCAGGCCCCAGCCCCCAGGCCAAGTTCCCATTTATCCTGCCCACACAGACCACCGTAGGCACTGAGCCAACTGGGCGGGTGTGCGTGTGCAGGATCGGGGCAGGGGCCCGAGGAGCAGTGGCTCGCATGTCAGAATCAGAACTCTACCCTGCTTGCAAGAAAAACAGAACATCATACTTTCCTTAATTTAAAGTTTTGTCCCTAACCCTTTGCGGCAGGCTGCTGCTGGCCTGCCTACACGCTGCGCCCTGCATCCACAGCGCCTGTGTCTGGGTAGGTGTGTGGCGATGGCATCTCATACGGCTTTGATAGGCATCTGAAGTTACTGAAGCCTTGACCACCACTCGTTACTAAGGCCTTGACCATCTTTTCATGGGCTTCTTTGCTGTGTGTCCTCTGGGGAAATGTCCTTTTAGGTCTTCCGTCCATTTTCCATCGCTTTTTGCTGTAGAGTCTGGTGAGTGATTTATGGACTCTGGATACTAGTGCTCTGTCAGATCAGTTCATTTGAAAAGACATTCTGAAGCACACTGACTTTTGGCCTCTTAATAAGGTCTTTCACAAAGAAAACCATGAAATATTTTTACTCTTCCTAATCCTTTTCTTTTCCTGAGCATTCTTAAATTTTTGTAAAGTCCAATTTATATAAACTTTCTCTTATGGGTACTTTTGTTGCTGTCAAGCCCAAGAATCTTCTGCCTAGCCTAGATCCTGATTTTCATGTTTTTTTCCTTAAAGTTTGATTTATATATAAATATAATATATATTATGGCAAAATGATGTCTAAATTATTATTTTTTCTTTTGCATGGTATTGGTGACTGAACCCAGGGCCTGATGCTTGCTAGGTAAGCCCTCTACCACTGAGCTTTTTTTTTAAATAATTTTGAGTGAGGGTCTAAGTTGCCCAGGCTGGCCTCAAATTTGCTACCCTCCTGCCTCAGCCTCCCAAGTGTCTGGGAGGTATGTGCTACCACATCACCTGGCTTAAAAGTTTTATATCTTTATGTTACATTTCACCATCTATTTTGAGTTGATATTTCGTCAGGTGTGAGGCTTAGGTCAAGGTTCATTTGTTGCCTGTGGACGCCTAATTGTTTTGACACTGTTTTTGAAAAGGTGTATTTCCTATATTAAACTGTGTGTGTTTGTCATAGATCACTTAGAGCTGGCTGCAATGGCATACACCTGTCATTCTAGCAATTTAGGAGGCTGAAGCAGGAGGATGGCAAGTTTGAGGCCAGTCTAGACAACTTAGCAGGACAGTGTGTCAAAATAAAAAAAAATAAATAAAAGGGCTGGGGATGTAGCTCAGTAAACCTCTGGGTTTGATCTCCAGGACAAACAACTATAAACCTCCCGTGGCACCCGTGTGACTGTCTCTTCTCTGTTCGGATCGACTTTCTGCCGTGCTCATGAAAGCTGTTCTGACACTATTTGTTGAGAAGCTGTATTCCCTTGTCTATCAAGCTGGGTAGAACTGACATCTTCACTAGGTTGCATCTTCCCAAAGAAACATGGCGTGTCTCTGTTCTTTACATTTTCTTTGATATCGTTCATCCTCCCCCAAGTCCTATAAACTTTGTTAGACATATATCTGAATATATTTTATCGTACATGGTATTTTAAAATTTAAAAACAGATTTTTAAAATGGACGTCTTGTGCCCTGTGATTTAGCTGTGTTAATTCTGGAAGTTTTCTAGTCCCTTTCTCAGGATTTTCTACACAATCCTGTGACATGACTGGAAACAGTTTTGCCTCTTCCTTTCTGGTCTGTTCATCTTTGCCTTCTTTTTCTTGCACTGAGGAGAACTTCCCGTGCTAGTTGAGTCAGCAGCAGGTGTCACTGCTCTGCTCCCAGGCATGGGAGTGGACATCAGGTTTGGGTGCTGGATTATGACAAAAGTTTTTTCTGCATAAAATATGACCATGTTATTTTTATTTCCCCATCCCACGTTAACGTGGGTTTGGACACGAAAGCTGCCGTAGGGCTCTGGCATAACCTTGCCTTGGTCACAATCCAGGACTCTGTCTGTGCACTGCTGAGCCCTACTTGTTAACGTTTTGTCAAAGGTTTGTACACATGAATTCACAAGAGATCAAGGTCTGTAGTCTTGTTATGTTGTGCACTGTTTTGGGTCTTGGTATCCAGGTAATGCTAGCTTTGGAAAATGAATTGGGAAGTGTTCCTTCTTTTATTTTCTGGAAGACAGTATATTAAAATGGTATTAGTTCTTCTTTAAACATTTGGTAGAATTCTCTGGTAAACCATGTGGGCCTACAGATTTCCTGTTTTGTCGTGTAGCCTTTGTAGATTCCCAAGCAGTTACAGAGCGACCTGAATGACCTACTTCACCGTGAGCGCGGGTGGACCTAGTCTGTGAGGAGGCGGTCGGTGTCTGCGCTGTCAGCGTCCCTGTGCAGGGCTGTCTGCGGCGTCCCTCACTGTCCGTTGGTGCGGGGGGCTGTGGTGAGGCCTCTACTCCATTCCTTTTGCCTTTCTTAGTCTTGCTGGAGGTTTGCCATTCATTTGCTTTTTATTTTCGAAGAGCTAGCTTCCTGTCTCCCTGACCTGCTTTCTCGTCACTGTCTTCAGTTTCAGGGATTTCTCTCCTTTACCTCCTTCTTCCGCCTGCTCTTGGTCCTGCTGCTCGGGTGGGAGCCTGGGCTGCCGACTGGAGGTTCTCCCTCTCATCCTCGCGTGCCTCAGCACCACCACTGGCCTCTCAGGCCTGCTTCAGCTGTGTCCTGCAAGTTTTCTGTTTTGGTACCAGGGATTGAACCCAGGGGCACTCAGCCACTGAGCCACACCCCAGCCCTATCTTGTGTTTTATTTAGAGACAGGGTCTCACTGAGTTGCTTAGTGCTTCACTTTTGCTGAGGCTGGCTTTGAACTCGCAACCTCCTGCCTCAGCCTCCCGAGCCACTGGGATTACAGGCGTGCGCCCGGCTCTTCAGTTTTTGCTTGACGTTTTGCAGCCTGTCATCCAGCCCCCAGATTCCAATTGCTGTCTTCTTGGTGGACTGACCCCTTCATTGTACATCCTCCCTGTCTCTGGTCACTTTCTTTGCTCTGGAGCCTACAGTACTAGACAGCCACCTGCTGTCCTTGGACTCTTTCCCTAACAACCCTTTCACCCCTTACTTCCCGGCTGCCTATTGCCTATTGGTGTGAGTTTAACAGGTGCCTTTCACATCTGCATTAACCCGGTCACTCATGTGCTGGGGCCTCAGCCCGCCCTTCACTTGGTCCGTCCCCCTCTTCCCTTTCTTGCAGGGCCTCACTCTTCTGCCCCAGTGCTCCACCCCTGAGCCACATCTCCAGCCCCATTTAAAAAATTATTTTCTTTTCCTTGTCCTCCTGTGGGCACTTAACATTTTTTAAAATTGGATTTTTGCTGTGACCTCTCCATCTCTCGGTAGTGTTCTCGGTGGCTGAAAACCACGTTGGTAAGACTTGTCAGTCTACTGGTGTTGTCATCTTACCAGTTCAAATGACGTAGAGACACTCTGCTTTTTGTCTTTATGTAATTATCTTAAACCTTTTCTCCATATGCATTTACAACCGTGAGAAATCGCTATGACTTTTACTGAAGCCATCACACACCGCGTAGAAGAGGCCAGAGGAGAAGGAACGCGACTGGCCTGTGGGGATGTTCTTCTCCTGCACCTGCCTGATTCCCCTACGCACCTGCCGCTCTCTTCCCTGGGCGTGAGGTTCTGAGCAGACAGTTCTGAGCACCTGAAAAATATTGTCCACTTTCTTCTGCCTCCGCGGCTCCTGGGAGAAGCCCACTGCCTCTCAGATGTGCTTCTCCTAACAGGGAGCTGTCATTGTGCTCTGACTGCTTCCAGGTGTTTCTGTCTTTCCTTTTTAGAAGCTTACTCACGTGCCTTGGTGGGTGAGTCTCCTGAGGCTCACCCTATTGGGTGCTTTCCAGCGGCCTGAGTCTGTGCCTGTCTTTGGCGAACGTAAGAAATTCTTTGGACATGACTACCTCAAGTTACTTTCCTTCCCCGTGATAAAATAAACGTTTATCACTTGGTGGAGTCTCCAGGGTATCCGGGGCTTCACCTGCTGTTTCTCCCAGTCTATTTTCTCTCTCCTCCAGTTTGTGATCCTCTCCTTTGTCCCCCTGTTTTATGGCTGAATGCATCAACCTGAGGTTTTTATTTGGGTTACTGCAGTTTTTAGTTCCAAAATTTCCATTTTGGTTCTTCTTTACGTCTTTCTCTTTCGTCTACTTCATCTGCTCAAGGGTGTCCATGATTTCTCACTGGAGCATTTTTACTGTGTCTGCTATAAATATTTGTTGGGTGATTCTAATACTTTTGTCATCTCAGTGGAGGAATCTATCCATTGTCTTTTCATACAATTTAAGATCTTTCTTGTTCTTGGCATGATGAATGATTTTCAAATGAAACCTGGACATTTCTATATATGAAAGAGTCTCAATTTCATTTTGAGACTCTGCTAGTCAAGGGAAGGAGTGGCTGCCTGTCACTGCCGGGTAGAGGTGGAGGCCCAGGTCCTTTGCGTGGCCTGTGCTGACACCCAGACAAAAGACACTTGCTACTGATGTATGGGTGGAGGTCCAGGGTCCCACACTGTCTCTCCAGCACCACAGAGAAAGGGCCTCATTACTGGTGGGAGGGGTCAGATCCTGGCTCCCTGCCGGCCCTCCCCGACACACTGTGGGCTGGGGGCTTCTTGGCTCAGCAGTGTGAGTGGCAGTCTGGCTTCCTCACACACTCTGCTAGTGTGAGCTGGGGAGGGCAGGTTTCTCTGTGATGCTCGGCTAGAGTGAAACAGGCACGGTTTCAGTTTTCTCTTCTTTCTAGAAAGCAGACCTAGAGGGGGCATGTTTCTTCTGTCATCACTGCTGTTTCTAGATGGCCAGCTTTTCAGCTCTAAGTGTGGGATATACGAGGCAAAAAGGAAGCCCAGGGAACCCATCACGTTGTTCTCTTTCTCTCTCGTTATGAAGCTTCTAACGAAGTGTGTGCTGGCACCAACTGATTCCCTGGTACAACATCACCAAACATAATCAGACACAGCAGCCACCAGCCAGGAAACCAGGGCACCTCTTTGTGGCCCGCTAACCCAAACCCCACAGTGAGGAGAGGAGCCGCACTTCCCATCCACAAGGGCCAGGCAGCGTCTCCTTAGTGGCTGGGCCAAGATAACAAGGGGAAGTGGATGCTTTGAAGCAGCTAAGAGAAAGAGCTGGGCTTGGTGGTGCCTGCCTAGGATGCCAGAACTCAGGAAGCTGAGGCAAGGGGGTCGCAACTTTGAGGCGAAGGTCAGCCACTTAGGAGGCCCTCTCTCAAATAAAATAAAAGTAAAAAGACCTGGGGATGTAGCTCAGTGGTAGAGCACCCCAGGTTCAATCTCCAGAACCAAAAAATAAAAAAGGAAAAGAGAGGAGAGACTTCCTTCATGTTCTCTGAATCATCCCTGAGCAGTGCTCCAAGTACCAGTTGGTGACTACCGCCACCCGGATCCCACAGTGACGTGGACAGTGCTAGAGCACAGCTTCCAAGAGACAGAGACGTGGCAAAATGCCACTGCTCTACGGACGAAGGCACAGCAGCAGCTCGGAGATGTGGCCGACCTCCTACCTTACCCTGGCCTGAAGTTGCGCTCCTGTCCACCTCCAAACAGCATAGGGTGCAGCGGGGTCAGTTTACCGAGCCCTCGGACGTAAAGTGCTCCGATCCTGGGGCCGTAGAACTGGAAGGAAAAGGCAGTCTTTCACCCAGTGAGCACCACCCAGGGCGTGCACCGTCCTGTGGCTTCGTGGTGGCCCTGTGGCTTTGTGGTGGCCCCGTGGCTGTGCTGCCACCACTTCTAACATGCCCTTGGGGACAGGGCAGAGCCCCAGCCTGAAAGGCAGGGTGGACCTCCCTGCACTTCACACCAGAGTTTGTAAAAGGAGACTAGCAACTGGAACTGGAGATCACCACGGGCTTTCCCTGCACAGGACTCCGCATCTTCAAGTAAGAGGCGCCAGGTTGAAAGTGCCCTGTTTGGCTGCGTACGCACTGCTCTGGGGAGGACAGCAGCGCTTCAGGTCCTCGTCAGCGCTGGGAAGACAAGACCCCCAGGGCCTTCACTATGAACTCTTCCCCACGCTCCACCTCAAAGACAAGAATGCTGAGGTGAACCTTCATGGGCAGCAGCCACATTTTAATCGGATTAGAGAAAGCTGCAGGGTCTCCAGCCCCACATCTGAGCTGGGAGTCCTACATGAGGGCGCATGAAGACCTCAGAGCTGCTACCTCCTGCCCCTGCTCCCACAGGCTGGGATACCTGTCATTTGTGTCATGGCACTTGCCAAATGGCATCTGAGGGGAAGATGGCACTCCCTTCTTAAAATCCCTGAGGACGGAGACCATGAGCTGCTCGTCACAGCAAGTGAATAACCCACACACAGTGCTGTGGGCTCTGCCGCACGGTGGGCCTCTAAATCAACAGGGAACCTCCCCCAGGAGAGGGGGGCGGCCTCAGCCGTACCTTGTGCCCCACGATCGTCAGGAAGTCCACACCTAGGTCCTCGACGTCCACGCGTCTTTTCCCCAGCGCCTGGGCAGCATCTGTGTGCACCAGAATGCGCGGCAGGCCGGAAGCTGCCCGCCTCTGGTTCAGGGCTTTGATGCGCTGGCTGATTTCAGGCACAGGCTGCAGGGGGAGGCAGACAGCTGAGTATGGGGCTTTGAGACAACAGAGACCAGAGAAAGAAGTGAGTCGAGGAGCACAGACAGTTGTGAAATGAAAGAATGGCCAAGCCTAGACGCAGGAGAACACCATCGGCCTGGGCACCTTCCCCCGGGACTCCCTTAGGAGGGGAGTGGGTGGCTCACCATGACAACGCCAGTCTCATTATTGGCCAGCATGATGGTCACAAGGCATGTGGTTGGGCGGACAGCTGCCAGGATGTCGTCAACCTCTGCCTGCCCGTTCACCTGGGACACTGGGACGAAGGTGACCTCTGAAGTACAGAGCACAGTACCAAGGGTGACCATCATGAAGGCTGCATGATTTCCAAAGTTATAAAAGTCACTTATTGTCAAAGTTCAGACAGCTAAAAAGAAGGAATAAGAGCCACTGTCGGCTGTGGAGACGCTCGAGTCTAAGGTTCTCTGAAATCAACAGACTGGGCTGGTAAGAAGGGTGGTAGCTCCTGGCAGCACAAGCTAAGCCACAGGCCAACTAGACGACCTGACAGACTAGGAAACAGAGCTAAAAGCCCTCCCAGTGCCAACACAAATTTCAAAGACTACAAAGAATCAAAATTGCAGCCAGGTGCAGTGGTGCACACCTGTAACCCTGAAACTTTGGAGGCTGAGGCAAGAGGATCACAAGTTTGAGACCAGCCTCAGCTACAAGGCCTTTAGTGAAGCCCTGTCACAAACTAAAAAGTGAAAAATGGCTGGGGGCCAGGTGCGGTGGCACACGCATGTGAAATCAGCTGCTCAGGAGCCTGAGGCAGGCAGATTGCGAGTTCAAAGCCAGCTTCAGCAATAGTGAGGCAGTAAACAACTCAGTGAGACCCTGTCTCTAAATAAAATACAAAATAGGGCTGGGCATGGGCTCGGTGGTCGAGTGCCCCTGAGTTCAATCCCTGGTACCAAAAACAAAAAGTCTAGGATGGCTGTGCCCCTGCCCAGGGCTGGGCCTGAGCTGTGAAGCAGTAACTGCACGGTGTGGGGAAGAGGACTTTGCAGGAAGCTCACTGAGCCACACCAGCAACAGCAGTGACAACGGGAGCGAGCACCCAGAGCCGCCTAACATGTGACCTATAGTACACGGTCTCCAACAAACGGCAGGGTGTGGGGACGCAGGCGAGAGAGGAGGGAAGGAACAGAAACCGCCTGCGCCCATGCTTGAGGAAGTGGAAACCTGTGCAGGCAATGTCTCAGCAGCCAGGGAAGGGCAAGACCAGGCCCACATCCTGAGAGAAGCTGTGGGAACTCGGCAGCTGAGCAGTGCGGCAGCTGACAAAGACGCACCAGAGGGGTTCAAGAGCAGATCCGCGTAACTGGCAGAAAAATAACCAGGGAACTCGAAGACGGGTTGATTACACCACGAACATCAGAAAAAAAGGAAGAAAAAGTGAACACAGCCACAGAAACTGTGGAACACAAGACTGCCTGTGTCGCCGGCTCTCCATCACCGAGACAAGATACCCCACAAGAACAACTAGAGGAGGAAAAGTCGACTTTAGTCCACGGTTGACCGACGCTATTGCTCTGGGTTGAGATGAGGAGGAACATCAGGGTGGAAGGGTGTGGTGGAGGAAAGCTGTTCGCTCATGGCCCCTGGGAGACAGGGAGAGAGAGGGAGGGCCAGGGACAATACATCATCCCCAAAGGCATGTCCCAGTGACCACCTTCCTCCAGCCATGCCCCATCTGCCTGTAGTTACCAAGAGTCCAAATTATTAACCCACCAAATGGATTAATCCACGGCTAGGCTCAGTTTTCGTCACTGCCTTAAGCCTCGTCTTGGAACCTTTGGGCATTAGAAATCATGCTTTCAAAACACGAGCTTCTGCTGGGCCACTGGCACATGCCTGTAATCCCGTGACTTGGACTTGCGATCCTCCTGCCTCAGCCTCCCAAGTCGCTGGGGTTACAGGTGTATACCACCACACCCAGCCCTTTCCTCTCTTATCTGAATTTCAAAGCCACTGTATAAAACAAAAGGCCGATGTTTACATTGATGGAACTCCAAGAGAGGACAATTATAAAACACAGAACATGGGGGAGCAGAACTGTTGGGTTAAAGGAAGGACAGCAGATTATAACTCAGGTCCGGGTAACAGAGGAGACCATGAGAATACGTGACGACGGCTATAGAACTATCTACAGACCTGCTCTCTTTTCCCTTAGCTTTCTTAAAAGGAATGAAGTAAAGTAATGATTGTGACAGTGCAATGCTGGGTTTGTGACGTACATGACGCAATATGCACGGTTATAAAGAAATAGAGGAGGAGGGATAGAACTACCATAAGGTGACGTTTCTGTGTCTCCTTGGAATGAGGCTGGTAGAAAGCTGATACTGTCAGTTAATGTGCATACAGTGAGCCCTGGAGCAACCACCGGGGAAATAACTGAAAACTGAAAAATAAAAAAGCATTTAAGGAATTAAAACAGTCAACCAGTGCAACAGAAAGCAGTAAAGGGGGAAGAGAGAGAGCAGCCGGCACCTAGGAGACAGCAGGGACCCTGCTGTAGGGTGGGTCACTGCACTGACGGTGCCAGTGAGTGTGAACGAGGCATGTCATCCACAGGAAGGCAGGGGTGTCGGCCTGCACCGGGAATCGGCTCTCTGCTGTCCACGGAGAGTCACGCGCAGGGGTCCTTGTTCGCCAGCTTCTCCCTCCTGGGAAGGCCCCCCAGGCTGACCCACATCCAGGACAAGGCTGACGTTCTGGCAGTGCTCTCAGAAGACGGACAGCAGGAGCAGACCAGTGCGGGCCAGGTGACCACTGCCCAGGAGGGTCTCCATTCAAAGTTAAAATCGTAAAGTGTATTTTCTATCCTTCATGGAATAAAATTAAAAATCAACACAGAAAAAAAATCTTAGAAACTCAAAACACATGAAAATTAAACAACACTGTCCTAAATGGCTCATGGGTCAAAGAATTCACAAGAGAAATCAGAAAAAACTTTGAGATGAAAGAATAACTTTTCATCTTAAGACACTGGAAAAAGAAGAGAAACCTAAACCTAAAACAAATAGAAGGAAATATTAAGGATTAAGGTAGACACTAATAAAATAGAGAATAGAGGGGCGGGGTCGTAGCTCAGTGGCAGAGTGCTTGCCTAGCATGTGTGAGGCACTGGGTTCAATTCTCACATTGCATATAGTATATGTGCTGCCGAAGCGAGCACTCTCACATTGCATATAAATAAATAAAATAAAAGTCTATTAACAACTAAAAAAATATTTAAAAAAAGAAAGCAATGAGAATATTCCATCAACTGTATACCAACAGACCAGGTAACAAGTGGCATGGACACAAGTATCTGAGAAGGGCTGCTGGGGACACAGAAAGTCTAGGCAGACCTGGAACAAGGTGAGAGAGGAGTCAGCAAGGTAAAGATCTTCCACAAAGAGAAGTCCAAGCCCAGGAGATGCTGCTGGTGAATTCTACCAGACATTTAAGGAAAAAGAAATGCATCTTCACAAACTCTCTCCAAAACAGAGGAGGAGGGAATACTTCCCAATTCATTCTATGAGGCCAATTTTACCCCAACACCAAACTAGTCAAAGACATCATAAGGAAAGAAAACTACAGATCAATACTTACAGATACTGATAAAGAAAAATCCTTGACAAAATACCTGGAATTCAGTGGTTGAGCACTTGCCTCGCATGCGTGAGGCACTGGGTTCTCATCCTCAGCACCACATAAGAAATAAATAAATAAAGATATGTGTCCATCTACAACTAAAGAAATATTAAAAAAAAAAAAGAAAAAAAGAAAAGAAAACAAACCTGGAGCCATTCTAAGTTAAATCTAGAAACAAGAAAAGGGTTACATACCAAGACAAAATGTGATTCATGGCAGGAATCCAAGACTGGTCTAACACCCAAAGATGAACCGACGTGATACACCATTATTAACAGAGGGACAAACAAAGCCCACGTGATCATCTTCATAAATGCAGGGAACGCATTTGATAAAATTCAACACCTCCATGATAAAAGCACCCAACCAACCGAGAGAGGAAGGGAACTTCTTCAGCCTGATGAAGGGCATTTGTGAAATGACCTCACACAAAGTTACTTAAGATGCATCAGAGACGTAGGTGTGAGGCAGAGCCTTCTCAGATACAACACAGGGAACACCTCCTCCCCCACCCCACAATTAGATCACAATTTAAAACTTCCATTCTTCAAAGGAAAACATGAAGAGAAAGGAGAAAAACATGTTGAATACCAAAACAATGTGCAACTCATGTATCTCATAAGGGATATGTGTTAAGTATATAGGAAAAATTCTTATAACTCAAAAAACGTAATCCAATTAAAATATGGGCAAGGATCTGAATAGACTTTCCTTCAATGAAGACATATACAAATAAGACCTGAGAAGATTCTCGACACTGGTCGTCAGGGAGTGTCACCAATAAGACAGTCGATAACAAATGTTGGCAAGGGTGGGGAACTCGGATCCCCACTTGCTGCTGATGGGAAACGTCAGGGCTAGTTAGAAGGACTTCAGAACTTGTCAGATATCATTACCATATGACCCAGCAATTCTGCTCCTTGACATAATCCAAGAGAAGTAAGCACAATGTTCACATAATTTCTACAGTCGAGCATGGTGGACACTCCTGGAGTCCATCTACCTGGGAGGCCAAGGAAGAAAGACTGCGTGAACCCAGGAATTCAGGACCAGCATGGGCAACACAGTGAGATGCCACCTCAAAGATGAAACTCGTAACTTCTATACCAATGCTCGTAGCAGCATTATAAATAATAGCCAAAAAGCGGCCAACGGATGGATCGTGCTCATCCTGATGAGTAAATAAAGTGCGGCAGCTCACACAGCGGAGCATCGTCTTCCAAACCAAGAAGGCAGTTTGTGCTCTGCTGTGTCCCACCCCACCAGCATGGCAGGGTGGGCCAGGCCGCGGGGTTCACCTACCAGCCACCTGTCCTTCTACCAGGTGCTCCAGGGGCAGGCGGATCGAGTCGTGCTCCACGGTGCAAGTGACAAAGTGGGGCCTGGCCCCTTCCTCAGGGCTGTGCTGCTCCACCACGGCCCCAGGCGGGGTCTGGCTTTCCTGGAAGCACTTCACCATGGAATGGATGACGAGATTATTCGACTGCAGAGAGTGAGAGCAGAAAAAGCACTTATAAACGCTGTCCTCAGGGAAGAGTGAGGGTAACAATCTCTCCCACTTGTTATTGTTCTTGTGTGTCTAATATTTAAAAATAAAAAAAAAATAAAAAACCAGCTTCAAACTACTACAACAACCTCCTGAGCTGTAGCTTTTGCAAGATTTATGGGTTCCAAACTTGCAAAAACTTGAGAATTCATTTAGAGTTGGCATGTCTGTTTTGTTGTTCAGCAACATGATAAATTTTGTAATTTTTTTTTGGTAGCAATTGAACCCAGAGGTGCTTAACCATTGGGCCACATACCCAGCCCTTTTTTATATTTTATTTTGAGACAGGGTCTCATTGAGTTGCTTACAGCCTCACTAAATTGCTGAGGCTGGCTTTGAACTTATGATCCTCCTGCCTCAGCCTCCTGAGCAGCTGGGATTACAGGTGTGTGCCACCGTGCCCAGCTTGAATTTTGTAATTTTATAAAGCTGTCAGAAGAGCTGCTCAGGCAGAATCTGCTGATGAAGTCTGAGTAGCACAGCCTCCATACAGGGCCACTGGCTTTGCTATCAAACGAGCCCAGCAATGCAACGATTCTGCCTCTGGGGCTTTCTTCTACAGCTAGCTACATATATAAAAGTCATCAAAAGTAGCACTGTAACAGCAAAACCTTGAAAAGCCTTGAACGTCTACCACCAAGGGGACCTGTTCAATAAATCACACACATGTACTTGATGGAACACGTAGCATTAAAACATCAGAAAAGCTCTCTGTGCTGATAATGAAAGTTCTCAAACGTACTTGGTAATAAAAATGGTGGATGGCATTACGTACAGTGCTCTATGATTCCTAGAAAAGGGGAAACACAGATCCATTTGAAAAAAAAAAAAAAATCTTTCAAAAGGCAAAATGAGAAGAATAGTCAAAGGTGCTTTGCTTCTTGGCTTTATAATGCAGACTCTCTCTGGAGGGTAGAAGAGAAATGCTGGTCTCCCGCGGGGAGAGGACGTGGATGACGGTAGGAGGGAGTGTGGTGGGGGAACGTTTTTTTCTTTTTTAATTCTTATTGTTAAATGTAGCAGAAAAGGTACCCCCCCTCCAAAAAAAAGTTTGTAAAGGACAGTGTAATGAAAACATCTGAGTATCAGAGATGCTGCCCGCACCTGGGAAGGCCTCCCCCAGGCGCACCCCCCGAGGCTGCCACGGGACTCAGCGCCTTGCTCCTCCTGGCACCTTCCCTCCTGTCAGAGCACCCTGAAACGGAATCGCCTGGCTTCTTTTGACCTTCATAGGAAGGGAACAGAAGCTTCTGGTCCTTTAGAAATTCAATCTATTCAAGTTCCAGAAAAGAAACCCCACAGCAGACCCTTATCAGACACTGCACCTTGCAGTCCCTGGCACCTTACCAGGCAGTGCCCCCGAGACTCTGAAGGCCACTGCAGCTCCACAGCCACACCTGGGGAGAGCCGAGGATGTGCCCAGGCTTCCACCAGAGGAGCGGCCTCCAACTACACACAGTGAGGACATGGCTGGGATGACGAGGCACCAGGTGGCTCCTTAGCCCAGGTCCCCTGCAGAGGATACTGACACCCAACACAGCAGCCCTGGGTCCAGAAAGAAGAGTCTTCAAGGCTCTAAGTGGCTGCATTGGCCCTGTAATCCCATGTAAAGTGGTCCTTGATGACTCGAAGGCCAGAGATACAGAGGGTGAATCAAATGATGGTGGTGTCCTGAGCCCCGCACCCCATCTACCTCAGGGGGATGCCAGGTTGAGGCCCAGGACTCCACCTAGGCCAGGCACACTCCTGCCACCCCAAGAAACCTGGCCGAAGTGAGCACCCAGAGCACATCAGTGAGCTGTTCAAACAGTGAGTCACATCAAAAAATGCACAAGGGATGTGACCACATCACTCCAGATGGAGAACTGGGGCCCCCTCGGCAGCTGAGGCCCAGGTGGCTCCTCCTGGTGCGCCAGGGAATCCAGGCCAGGGGTTGAGTCACAGTGCCCAGGCCCCAGGTGGCAGCCTCAGATGCCCTTTGCTCCCTGAGGCCCAGCTCTGCAGTAGACACTCATTTGATTTCCTCAGCACCTGAAGATTCGTCCACACTGCCGCAGAGCCTGTGCTATCACCCCGCCCGACCGGGCGTGCTTTCTGATTCAGAAGAGTTTCCGGCGGTCACGGACAGCACTGCTACAAGCGTCCTCGTCCTCGTGTCCTGGCTCACTGCCTTGTTTTCCAGGGTGTGAGCCTCTGTGTGAACTCTGGCTGGGAGGACACTCATGCCTGCCCCCTTACGGTAACACCTGTGGCTCACAGTGGCCCTCAGTCCACACTCCTGCAGCTGCATTCCCCATCAACACTCGGCATCAGAGGACTGTCCTCCTAGGGGGCGAGCAGAGGCTCTGTTCTCCTATGTTCTCACAGAGGTCACCCTTGGGGCCGAGGACTGCTCCATGTGCAGATGTCACCAAGGTCCTCTAGGGAGTACATAGTCCAGATTCTTGCCCATTTTCCAGCTGGGATTTCTACCGGCGCATGAGGTCCTGCTCCGTGGATGCTGGCCAGTCCTCTGCCAGCTCCCGTGGAGATGTTTCCCTGAGCCGCCCAGCTGTCTTTTCACTTTCTTCAAAGTGTTCTTGAATGAACCAAAGTTTATTTTGTTGTTTCTGTGATAGAATTGGTCAATATTTTCCTTTAGGTTGACACTGTCTGTGGTTCATTTGAGAAACCCAGCACAAAGATACTAATTTTCACCTAAAAGCTTGACAAATCTTCACAATTGGTCCTTATTCCACCTAGAGCTATTTTTTCTACCTGTTTTGAAGCAGAAGTCCAGTGGCCTTTCCTCTGTGACTGTGTCGCCCAGTAGTGTTCAATGAGGAGATTTTCTTCTTTTCCTGAGCTGTCCTCGTCAGTCACGCTGATGACCTCACTACCTATCGTAGAACTGAGGAGTGAGAGGGCACTGCTGCAAGTGCCAGAAATAGCTATCCTGGGACTGCCCTGAGCAAGCAGGACAGATGGCCACCCTTGTTGGATGGCAAGTGTCCACACCTGCATGACGATGTTCAGACCCACTGTGCCTTGCCTGAAGAATACCCTGCCTTAATTATGACAGCTTTCTACAGAACTGACTTCAGGCTGACACTGTCTGTAGTTCATTTGAGAAATCCAGCACAAAGATACTAATTTTCACCTAAAAGCTTGATAAATCGTCACAATTGGGTCCTTATTCCACCTAGAGCAAGACCTCCTACTGTGTTCTTAATCTCCAGAACTCCCAATTAGCACTCTTTTGTATTTTTATATACATTAGTTTGTGAGATTTCACCAAAAAGGAGTCAGAATTTCACCTGAGATTGTACTGAAGCTATAGATTAATTTGGAAAGAATGGAAATGTTTATAATAACACTGAGTCTTCAGGCTATGACGTGATGCACTCCCCTTTATTCAGAACTTCTTTGAAGGCTCTTAGTAATATTCTAACTTTCCTGGTTCTTTTTTTACTAGATTTCCTAAGTACTCGGTATTTTTCATGTCTAGTAAATACCTCTTTGCTGCTGGCATATAAAAATTCAATTGATATTTGGATTTAAAAGCTTGGCATTAATTCTGATCATCGAGCTGTAGATTCTTGTGGATTTTCTATGTGGACAGCTGTTGCCTCTTTCTTTCAGTAAGAAACTGAGCAGAGGCCATGCCGGATGTTCTCTGCAGGGTCCTGGAAGGTCTTTATCAATGTGAAAACAAGTTCCATTGGATGCGCCAAACCTCAAACTCAATAAGGCAAACAACTTCAGCAGGACTCACAGGAGTGTGACTCCAGGGCAAAGCCAAGGGGGCCCTCTGGAGCAGCAGCAAGACAAAGCAAGCCACTTTACACTTTGTACTACAAACACCCAACAGCCACTGGAAGTTACTTATAGGGTAAATGCTCACTGATTATGTCAAGCTTATTTGTAAGACATCAACACCAAGCACAACTCTTCCTAAAAACCAAACAAACCAAACATAAGATAAACCCAGAGCAAACTGCTCTCTATTCTATTGCCACTTATGGCTAAGAGGGTGGGTCATCAAAACCCACTTGAATCTAATGTATGAAATATGATATGTCAAGAGCTTTGTAATGTTTTGAACAACCAATAAAAAAAAAACAAAAACATTACCTCAGTGCCCCCAGAAGTGAAGACGATGTCTTCAGGCTTGCCACCTATCATGTTCGCAAGGCTTTCCCGAGCTGCATTGATAATATCCTTGGCCTTTTTACCTTGAGAAACCAAAAAGGAAGTTCATTACCATTGTAGCCCCAAGTCTGATCAATACATTCAACAGAACCACCACACACAAAGAAGCAAGAGACCTGAGTGGGTGACCGAGGAGGAAAGAGGTCCTCTGTGTGGTCACAGGGTGCTACTGCCGAGCAGTGCCTGGGCAAGGGGGCAGCAGGAAAACACTAGCAACCAGTGGCAACCACTGGGGTCTAAGGAATTTAGAGCCAGAGACAAATACAGGGCACACCTGGGAACTCCACGCTCCCTATGACACGGCTTTCTTCTTACCGGATGCTAGAGGGCAGGGGAAGCTGTGGCCATCTGCCTGGCTTCCCGTTCATCAAGACAGGAGAATGAAAGGGTGGAATAATTTGCTTAAGATCATGCTGCAAAACAACAAAAATAAGCAAAAACAGAACTCATGATTCCACATACAACGTCAAATCAAATATGCAGGGCAGCCTCGTGTGTGATAAGGGCATCTACTTCCACACAGGCTGTGCATCCAGCTACTGCCCAGGTTCCCTGGACAGGGGGGCCGGAGCCATGCTTCCTGTGGCAGAGAAGGGGGGCTCTGGAGGAGTGCTGAGAACTTCAGGGACCATTCTCAGTCAGCTGAGCCACAGCCCTCAAACTCCAACGAGCTAGTCTTAATTGCAAAAACAAGTTCAGCAGGCACTATTAAAAACTATACAACAGAAAACACCATAAAAATAGAAATATAAAAAGCCAAGATGAACTTACAAAGCAATTCTCACACTCCTTAACTCTACTGCAGAGATTTCAATGTGAAGTGTGAGGATTAACAGGGTCTTCACTCTGAACTGTCCACGGATGTGGGCAGGCCTCCTGTCTGGCACATGCTCTTGGCTCCCCTTGGAGTGTCCCTCTAGTCCTCCCCACCAGAGGCATCCCACTTCCCCCCAAGAGCTGGCTGAAGAGCATATGGCGGACTTCAAAGTGGGAGGGTCCACCCTGCTCCTTGCTCCTGGAAGGTTGCTGCTGCAGGCAGGTCTGAGCTCCCTGACTGCAGAGCCCCAGGGAGTGCTGTCCCCAGGGAATGCTGTCAGGGTGTCTGACTGTAGTAAGGGTGGTTGTGGTGGGAAAGGCCCAGGACTCAACTTGTAAGAGCTGGGTTCCATACGGGGTCTGCCATATGTCCACGTACTGCTCAGGGACCTCAACTGTAAACCTGGGATAATAAAGGCGCCCACCTCACAGTCCTCACTAGCATGCAAGCCAAAGCAGCCTGAGCACACTCACTCTGTCAACTCAAGGCTCCCTTCCAGCTGTCATCCACAGTCTAAGGGCTTTGCTTAGAAGAGCACTCACAGGTGACTGAGATGCAGGAGCAGAGCGCAGCAGACGGAAGCACATGCTTGTTACCATTTTAGGGCAGGAACAGGAAGGCAGGAAAGAGGGGTGTTAGCAAGGACCCAGTTTGGGCCTTAAAAGGTTAACAGTTTCCTTCAGAGCCTGAAGAGGTGCCTCCCTCTGTGTTGGTACTGCAAAGCTGCTCATCACACTATGTGTGTCAGTTGTGGATAAATTTAGATGACAAGTGCTGTGCAGGTATTAACACCTGAGTATCCAACACATGAGCACCTCATCTCTACTGGCTGCCCACCATCCTCATGACCCAGGCCCCAACCAACCAGGTGGATGGCCCATTTTTCCAGCTGGCACGTGGCTGCCCAGAATTAAGAACACAATTCCCAACTCACATAACAATTACATGTGGCCATGCGACCAATTTCTGGGCAAAGTGGTCACATGCTATTTCTAGAAGTGTCCTTGAAGGACTCGGGGATACCTTTATCCTCCTCTTTTTCTCCTTTTGACAGGCAGAACTGTTGACACGATGGCTTGAGCTGAAGCAGCCATCTTGACCTTAAGAGTCGAGATGCATGTTGATGCCTAGCAGGCACAAGGCCCTGGGTTTGAACCCCAGTACAACAACAGCAACAGCAACAACAAGAAGTGCATATGGAGGACGGAAGAGGTGTAAGAAAGGAGGAGCCAACCCCTAATGAGGGAGCTCTACATGGGACCAGACTGTGTGAGAAATAAACTGCAAGCTGTATAGGATGCTGTTATTTTGGGCGTTTATTTCTTACAACAAAACTACATACCATAATTTCCACACTTGCTCAGACACTGATTTTTCTTTGGTGGGGAAAGGGAAACAATGAAATCATGCTGATAATGTGTTTACACATGCTTTTTTTCACTTGAACTGTGTGCGAATATAATTCTTCTAGGTCATGGATACAGCCCACACCTCACTTCAACAGGGCCCAGAAGTCCACTCTGGGCAGCACCATGCTTCAAAATCAGGTCTCAACTGATGAACAGAGGTCACACCCAGTTACTGTGAGGCTGTGGTACATGTCTTGGTGCTACAAAGCTTACCACACGTGCTCAGTGCTTCCCTAAATTGCCCGCAAAGATCTTGAATCCAGAGATTGTGAAAACGGAAGCAGTCTATGATAAAGTAATTTTTCCTTTCTTCTCCTTCTCTTTGCATTTCTACCTGAATATCAACAGAAAGTGGGCTAAAATCCACTTTTTATTAACTTGTGGAAACAAAAGCTGTTGAAGCAACCTAACAGTCTACAGCATATATTATTCAGGCTAAGAATACTCTCCCTGAGAGCTTCCCAAACTCCTTCTTTTATTAGCATTTAATCATTTTCCATATTCTCAACTTTAATGCTTCAGAAAGTTCAATTTTATCAAAGGAGAGGTTAGACACAAGGCAATGTCCAGATTAGCCAACAAACAAGTTAATAAATTACTAGTATCTGATTTGAAGAAGCTTTTAGTTACTAAGTTGCAGTAAAACTTGAATAAGCAAAAGGCATAGAAGCACTGGGTCCCCCTGAAGCTGCCCACAGGCATTTCTGAACCGTGAGGCTAGGCGATATCCTGTTTGAAGTGTTATTTTAGTTCATCATAATCCAGGGAAGATGGTTTCTCTTTTTTTTTTGGCTGGGGGTACCAGGAACTGGTCTCAGGGGCATTTGACCACTGAGCCACGTCACTAGCCCTCTTTTGTCTTTTATTTAGAGACAGGGTCTCACTGAGTTGCTTAGTGCCTTGCTTTTGCTGAGGCTGGCTTTGAACTCATGATCCTCCTGCCTCAGCCTCCCAAGCCACCGGGATTATAGGCGTGACACTGCACCAGGCTAAAGACAGTTAATCAATAAACGTTAGCTACAAAAGGCTAGACTACAGCCTGCCTGTCTGAATGAAAACACAATGTAATGCTGCCAGGTAACCACTGACTTGAAGCAAATTACTTTTCAAAATCTCCAATTTAAAGCTCTACAGAAAAAAAATCAGAAAGAAATAGAATATTCATAATTGTAACATGTAACAAAAGTAACAAAATTTAGAGCAACTCCCTGCACTCCCGCCCCAAGTGCTCTATCACAAAGTTACATCCCCAGCCCAAGTGACTTGCATTTTTAAAAAAGGCCGGGATTCTATATGCTCTTAATGATTTAAAAGACATATTTTGCAAATTCTGTAAGGTATGTGAAAGGATTTTAGTAGACACTGGCATTGCCAATGGCTCCTGATGAGACCTCTTTTTTATGCGTGTGACAGTGAACAGCAAAGGTGAAGGCTGTGGCTTCAACAAGGCTCCACTTACAAAGCTGAACTTTTCAGAAAAAAATGCAGCTAGACAGAAAATCTTTTGCAAACAAAGCCATCACTGGGGTGAGTGCCCCTTAGGAGGCCTCGGCTCCACCCCACCCCTGCCCAAGCCCGGTGCCTCTTCTAGAATCACCTGCTGTGTAGGGGCTGCTAGGGTTCCCCCAGGCTTCCCACATGGCCTCAGTCATGACCTGGATAACTTCTGGCTCCAGGGGAGTGGTTGCATTATAGTCCATGTAAATTTTCCTGAAGAAAAGGAAGACATACCAGGTTAGGAAAAGGAGGTAAGCAGCTGCTCTTGGGGGACTAGGTCAGTAGAAGCAAATAATGTCCAGGGCAGTGGATTCCCCTGCATACTCCAACAGTCTTCCACAAACTGCTCCAGAGGACCTCCACATCCCCCTTGCTGATGGAACATGCAAGGATAATATCTAGTAATCTACAGTTTCCAACTTCTTTATATCAATAGACCATCCATTCAGATGTTCACAGTTTCCTACTACTGGCTGGCAAGATTAAAAGTCTGTGGGCCTGGATCACCCAGCTGACTGCACATTCCCCAGGAATCTTCCCATTTGCTTTTTTAACTCCACCGGTAGTTTCTCTTTATTATGGGATGGTCTCTGGACTCCAGGGAATCTGGGTGCCCATTTCCTGCCACACTCTCCTTGCTGGGCTTCTCCCCCACCCCCACAGGGCCTCCTCCCCTGGGGCAGGGCTTGTACTTTCAGTTTTCTTTGAATTACAATGACCCTGGCCCCACCCCATCCTCATATTTTTAAGTGTCTGCTTTAACTTGTCCTTCTGGGTGAGTTCAACAGCGGTATTTAAAACTGTAGGCCAGCCTGGACTTCCTTCCTGGCATCAGTGCTTGTCATGTGACCCACACATGACATGTGTTCCTTGTTTAGTGTCCATTTCAACTGAGTAATAAAAGTGCACCTTCCAGAGCCTGTGGGTTTCGTCTGTTTCTTCCTGCTCTATCACCAGTGCCAAAGACAACAGCTGCCACACGGCATGGTCTTGCTTTGTAAGATGATAAAATAAATGCCAAAGAAAATCCAAGTCCTCGGAAAGATCCCTAAGATTATCTGTGCATCTTTTTACCAGTACCAGAAATTTTCAAAAATCCATATAGTAGAGAATCCTGCCTGATACTAGTAATTATATTACTTGACTACATCCCCAGCTTATTTTGAAACAGGGTCTCACTAACGTGCCGAGGCTGGTCTCAAACTTGCCATCCTCCTGCCTCAGCTTTCCAAGTGCTTTGGATTACAGTACCACTGTGCCTGGCTGAATGTGCATTAGTTTTTCACACACCACCTTTTCTATAAACTGTGTGAAATCATCCAATAGGCTTTGGAAAGCTGGACTAGTCATCCTTGATCAACTGAGTGTTAGATTGAGAATCTCAGGAGTCTCCCTGTATTGCAGGGACTTTCCACACACTCTTAAGTGTGTTCTTTTCTGTAAGTATCCCAAAGTGCCCCAAGTTTGCTAGTTTGCTGAATGTGACTGCAGCTTTTCAATCTGTTGCTTGGCTGAACGAATTTAAACCTTGTATCTCAAATTAGTATCTTACAGATAATCTGCTCAGATACCCCTAAAGCACTGTTGAAGGAGGGCCTGGTTGCTGATATAACTCCATTTTGCCTTTCCTTTTCCGCTCCCTAAGTTCTCCAAAGCCATTCTCTTCAGTCACCTGGGATTCCTGAAACAAGAGGTCTGAAGGATAAACATCTATGACATGAGTCAAAACTGTGCCCAAGGCAAGAGCAATTTTCTTTACTTTGTTTCTTTTTTTTTAAATATATATATTAGTTGTACATGCACACAGTGTCTTTATTTATTTTTATGTGGTGCTGAGGCTCCAATCCAGTGCCTCACAAGGGCCAGGTGGGCGCTCTACCACTGAGATACAGCCCCAGCCAGAGAAATTTTCTTATCCTGACAAAGACCCATCAAATCCTAAACCCTGAGATAATGATCGACCAGACAGGGCTTGACAAAATCACCTGCTGTGGCAGCTGTGCAATGCGTTCAGCTACACAAACCCCCAACCTTTGCCCATTCCCCTTTCCAAAAAAACCAGAAGTCATTGCCAGCCCCTGAGAGCCTGGGCTAAGGTCCCCTTGTCTTCCCAGTGTAGCTACACAGATGAAAGCTCCTTTACTGGTCTTCATCATAACTTTTCCAGTTTGTTTTTGGGGGCAATTGGCCAGACCTGATGACTTGGTGCCCCAGAGCCAGACCTCTGGCCTAGGACTCCAGTGGCAAGAGCCTAACTCAGGCCTCCCCTGAAAACACGCGGGCAAGAGAACCCTGACCCTCCACCTGGAGAGTGAGCTCCAGCTGGCCGAGGCACCCCAACCCCCAGAATGACCACACCTCCAGCTGGCGGCCCCTCCCTCCATCCTCTGCGGTGACCCCCGGGAGTGACCCTGGCCTGTCGAGCCCTGGCACCGCAGCGCCTCGAAGGCTTCCTGGAGGGGGGCACCGGCGCTTCCTCTGCTGTCCCTCACCGCGCGCACCTCTCCTGCGGACTCTTCTCTCGGAGGCAGCCGGGTGGACTCATCGCCCGTCCCCGCGCAGCCCTCCTCGGCGTCGGGACAGTCTCCATCCAGCAGCACGCCGATCCCGAGGCGCAGACAAGAGCTCCGGGCGCCGGGGAAGGCGGGGCCGCCGGACGGGGCGCGTCTGTACTGGCCAATCCGCGCGTTGCTGAGGGGCTGGGGCAGGGCGGGCGGGCCGATTGGCTGATCGGGGTCAGGTGACGGATATGGGCGGGCCCTCGAACACCACCGGAGCCGGAGAATGCTGTGGCCTCACCAGGCCTTGGGCTCCCGCCGCAGCGCCGCTCGCCTCTGGAGGCGGTGACCGCCGCTCCGTTAGGTGGGGCCCAAGTGCGGGCCTCGAGAGAGGCGGCTCGAGCCGGGAGGAGCCCCGGCCTGGGAGCCTCCCGGCTGAGCAGGCTCCGTGAGAGCAGGGCCATGTAGCTTCACTCGCGTCGCAAACTTGGGTGGGAAGGAAGTGCCGGGCGCACGGTGCCACGTCGGGCGTGACAGCCGCAGGCTCTGCGCGAGGCAGCGTCGGTCGGCAGGGCTTCCCCAACTACAGAAGCGCCCCGATTCCCGTAATTTGACCTGTTCTTTGGGTGATTTTGTTTGAAATTAGGAGCCCATTCATTGAGGATGGAGTTTCGGGGTTCTGGAGTGGAGGCTGTTAGCCGGGCGGTGGGCACAGAAATGTAGGAAGGGCGGATTCAAGGTAGGCTTAGGCTATAAGATAGAACTAGGAACAGCCTTAGTAAGGGGATTGCCCAGGTGACCCGGTAAGACTTCAGAGCCTCCTTCTGGTGGAGGAAGGAGCAAGGGAGGGGAGACGGTGGGGTTGGTTGTGAGCCACTAAGGTGGTAAGTTGCAAAGGACAAAGATCCAGATTCTTGATTCTAATAAAACATCCCTCACCCCTGGCCTTTTTGGCATCATAATAGTTTCTAACTTTACCCCTGAACATATGCCAGGCATTGTTCTCCCTGTTTTTCAGGTATCCACTAATTTAATTCTGTAAGTGTCCTATCAGGTAGGTACTGTGGCCCCATTTTACATACGAGGAAACAGGTTTGGAAAAGTTCAGTGTCGTGTCTAAGTCCCTACCCTACTTGGGTAGGGTGGGAAGCAGGATCTGAGTTCAGGCCAGCTTTACCAAGAGGTGGAACCTGAATTGGCTTTCCCATAACTGCCAATTTCAACTCCTGCTGGGGTCCAGAAAAACTTGATTTTATCAGCATGGCTAGTCCCACGTGTGAACGCCTCATTTTCTTTCATTCTTGCCAGCAAACTGAGCTCTCTTCTTGCCATAGCAGCCAATAGCAAATGGCATATCAAGGATTAAGAGGCAAGTGACTTCATGGGAACCTAAAGCCAGTGTGTGGGGGGTGGGGGGGTGGGGGTGTGAATGGGAAAGAGTCAGAGAAGAGTGCAGCTAATGGTCCACAGTGTCTGCTGAATGTGGGACTGTTAGAGGCCCTGTTAGATTTAGCCAGAGGCATCTAAGTAGTGAAGAAGGGTGAAAGAAGAATGCCAAGATGCCAAAAAAAACATCCAGGACTGGGGAAGCACATGAGCCTACCTGTCAGATGAAGGGGATGCTGAAAGGAGGAGACTGCAAACAGGAAGAGCTGAAGCCCCCCAGAGGAGGTGAAGGGGAGATTAAGAGCATGGGCAGGAGAGCAAGGGCGGGCTGGGCAGTCGAAGGGTAAGGGTGAGTGTCATCCTCTAAATGTATGTGTAAGGCCGTAGGGATGGGAGCTGGAGAAGCCGGGAGGGTGATGCATCTCCAGGGCTCCTTGGACCAGCTGGGCAGCAATAAGAGTGTTTGTGTTCCCAGATGCAGGAGTGTAGTGGTGGAGTCAGAAGAGAAGAGGTGACAGGAAGAACTGTGTCCACATGCACACCAGCTGAGGTCACATACTAGCAGTGCATTCTGCCCCTCCACTCTACCAAATACAGCACGTGGTGCAACAGGCATGGCAGGCACCATGCTTGAGCTGATTGACAGGACATCTCCGTTACAGAGATAAGTGTCCAGTAATGACCCAACACTGGAGGAATAGCACAAAGTTAACACAGTGCCAGAACAAGCTCTAGAGAGATCTGCCAAGAAATAAGTGCATATGTTATTGCAAAAAGCAAAGAAGGAGGGTCTGGGCTTGTGGCTCAGCAGTAGAACGCTTGCCTAGCACACGTGAGGCCCTGGGTTTGATCCTCAGCAACACAAAAAATAAATAAGTAAAATAAAAGTATGTGACCAACTACAACTAAAAAAATAAATATTTTAAAAAAGAAGGAACAGTTATGAAACAATTTAAAAAGATATTGGGATTAGGGACAAAGCTCAGGGGTAGAACAATCCCCAAGACCCCTCCCTCACACACACACAAAGATTGAACTTTATAATGGTAATAACTGAAGTTTAAAAACTTGAGTTAAAGAAGGCAACGTAGAACACAGGATTTTTAGGGCAATGAAGGTATTTTGCATGATGCTTCAACGGCAGGCACATGTCATGTTTGTCAGGAGGAAGAATGCACACTACCAAGAGTGACTCTGAATGTGAACTGTAGACCTCAGGTGATGAAGGTCACAGGTTCATCCGCTGTCCCAGATGGAGCACTGTGGATGTCGACAGTGGGGGGAGCTATTCACGTACAGGGAAGGGGGTGTTATGGTAACTGATCAATTTTCATGTTAACCTAAAATTGCTCTAAAAAAGTCTTCATTAAAAAAAAAATAGTCGTAGTTAGGCTGAATAGCACAGGCCTAGCTGAGCGGTGGACTGGTGACCTAGGTGCCTGAACTGAGGACTGCTCTCAGAGCATGTAGCTCAAAAGGGTAGAGATGGAAAAGGACAAAAGAAACATTCATCTAAGGCAGTGATTCTCAGCCAGGGTGACCGCCTCTGGGGGTGTCCGGCAGTGCAGGAGAGAATTTTGGCTATTGTACCTGGAGTGGGGCTTCTTTGGGGTCATGGTGAATGGAGGCTATTTATGTTACTGAACATCCTCCAGTGTGTAAGATGGCCCCCACATGAAATTATCACCCAAAATGTCAATATTGCCATGGTTGGCATCCTTGATATGGCTCCACATTTTCATCTGGTACCATTTCTTCTGCCTAAACAGCTAGAACTTCTTATAGTTGGTGCTAGTTGCTGGGTTATGCTTCCAACTGTTTTACCCGTGGAGTCTTTGCTTTGCCTTCATCTGACTTTCCCTGGAAAACAGAGGATTTTTCCCATACTCTAAGGATGTCTTTCCCGGGCCAGCATGCTCACATTATCTGCAGTGAGAAATCTGCTGTTGCACTTCTCTTTATTCCTCTACGTTTTTATTTATTTTTTGCCTACTGTTTTTGTTCTGTCACTAATTTAAAGCAATTATGATGTGATTTGGTGTTTTCAGTTTTTTGTTCTTCTTTTGATATTGTGGATAGAACCCAGGATGCTCTACCACTGAGCAACACTCCCAGTCCTTTTTTGACAGGGTCTTGCTAAGTTGCTGAGGTTGGCTTCAAACTTCAATTCTCCTCCTCAGACTCCAGAGTCGCTATTTTCAGGGTTTTTTTTTTCCCCCCAGAGATTCCTTTCTCCCTTGCTTCTTTGAGAACACAAAATTACAAGTTATCCCTCAGCTCACTGAAGTCCTTGTGGTTAGGGGGAGATTCCCATTTTTTCTTTCATTTATGGTTTTTACTGCTGTATATTCAAGTTTGTGAGTTTTCTTCTGCAACATGTGACCTATTATTAAAAACATCCAGTGTATTTTTCATTATATCCACTGTTTTCTTCTGTAAGTTGAGTTTGCCTTTACATATTTCTATTTTTACTTAAATATGCACCACCTTTCTTCCACTTGTTGAAGTCTTTTAATGCTCTATCTTGTTTGCCATTTTTATGATTTCTGGGTCTGTTTTTATTGACTGATTTTTTTTCCTGATTAAGTGGGCCTTATTTTTTCTTCTTTTCATGCCTTATAATTTTTTACTGAATGCTATACATTATACATTTTATCTTGTTTGGTGCTGAATATTTTTAATTGAAATTTTTATTGAAAATGACTGTAGATTTACATGCAGATAAATAAATAAATAATAGAAAAATCCTTTACCCAGTTTTCCATAATGGCAACATCTTTGATAACTATGTGCATGTGATATTTCAATCAGGATACAGACATTGATTGCAATCAATCTGTCTCCTTCAAGTTTTGCAAGCTATACTCACTGGTATGGATATTTAGTTCTGTGTCATATTTAGACATGTAGGTTTGTGTATCCAGGACCATGATCAAGATAAGATTGACAGGCTGAGGTTGTGGCTTAGTGGTAGAACATGGGCCTCATGTATGTGAGGCACTGGGTTTGATTCTTAGCACCACATATAAGTGAATGAATAAAATAAAGGTCCATCAACAACTGAAAAAAAAAATTTTAAAAGACACGACAGTGCTATCCCATCAAGGATCTCTACCTAGTATTGTGCTTCTATAAACACACCCCCTCTTCCATGTTCGCTGCTTGTAGTGTTCCAGGGTAGCTGTGTGTGTTTCACTCCAGATTGAAGGGACAGTTGGGCTGATTCCAGTTTATGGCTAGTATGAATAAGACTCCTGTGAAAACTGGTGTAAGGTGTTTTTTGTAAACAAAATTTTGTTCTCCAGGAATGCAGTAACTGGGTCCTTTGATTATAGATTTGTCTGCATCTTCTATCAGAATTTCCCTCAATCTTTAACAGACAGATCTGAGAGGAGATGTAGACAAAACTTACAACCACAGGACAAAAACAAGTAACAAATTCTTTTTAAAAAAATTTTTTTAGTTGTAGACAGACACAATACATTTATTTTATGTATTTGTTTTTATGTGGTGCTGGGGACTGAACTCAGTGCTTCACATATGGAAGGCAAATGCTCCACCAACTGAGCTACAACCCCAGCCCAATAAATTCTTTAATTTTACTTCATCTGAGTGAATTTTATTTCACTTTCTTTTCTGAAAGTAATTTGGGCTGGGGGCTGGGGATATAGCTCAGTTGGTAGAGCGCTTGCTTTGCATGCACAAGGCCTTGGGTTCACTCCCCATGCACCACCAAAATAAATAAATAAAAGTTGGGCTGGATATTTAATTCATGATTGACATTTACTTTGTTTTGCTTGTTTTTCTGAGATAGGGTATCCCCACCAGCTGGGATTACAGGGTTACCACATGCCTGGCTAACTTTCAGCATTTGTCACTTTCTCTGGCCCCCATGGTTTCTGAGGAGAAACCCACCGTCATTCAAGATGGTTTCCCATTAAGTAATATACCATTTGTTCCAGCTGCTTTCAAGATTTCTTGTTTTGTTCTTAGAAGGTTGATTTCTTGGTGTGGATTTGATTTCATCCTGTTCAGGATTCACTCAGCTTCATGAATCCACATCTTTTTACCAAATATGGGAAATTTCTCTCTT